TAAGTAGACCTGGCCTATGGGAGGGGCTCTGAGCCTGGCCAGCCCCAGCCCCCACAGGCATCAGTGGCATGCACTGGTGTGTAGGGGATCTCAGCCTGTCGCCTGTTCCTCCTTTTGTCCCCTGCATCTCTAAATAAATAATAAAGTGTATATTAGACAGCTAGCTAAAATAATTAAGAAGTTTATTCTTGAAACTCAGATTCAAACAGGGCACACTTTCGAACTATTTTTATTAGAAAAGAAGAATCCTGATTACAAAACCTTATGGGAACTTCATAAGGAAGGAAAAGTTAGACACTAATCTCTCAGGAACCTGTATGCCAAAATCCTTTTTAAAAAGCTAAAGTTCTATTAAAAAAAAAAAAAAAACAACTATACCTTCTGATCAACTAGGATTCCTGGAAAAAGTGAAGTTGGTTTAATATTTAAAAATCAAACAATGCAATTCACTAAACAGAAAAATGTGTAAATTAGATAATCTTCTCGGTAGCTACAGAGGCATCATTTAATAACCTGAAACAATCATTCACAAAGCTTTGCAAAAGAACTAAAGGGAAATCCCTTAGTCTGATATTTAATAATCTAAATACAACATCACGTTCAATGGCAAAATATTCAAAGGTTCTCTCAACAAATCGGAAATTAGACAATCAAGCTGATATTATTTTATTCAATATTCTCCTGCAGATTCCAGCTGGTGCATTTTAAAGAAAAAGAGAAAGAAAAGCATAAGGAACTACTGAAGAATAAAAAGTAAAACTGCACTGTCACAGAAAATATGACATTGTATGTGTTTAAAATCTAAAATGATATACAAACTATTAAAGTCAGTAAACATAGCAAAGTAGACATGACATCAACTTAGTTACTGGCCTGTAGATTTCATGCAACCCCAATATGGATCACAGGAATATCAGCCCAATCCCAATCGTTGACAAGCTGAGCCTAAAGTTCCCAAAGAAATGGAAAGTCTAAGATTAGCTTGCGCAGTTTCGCAGAAAAGGAGTAGGCAGAAGGAGTTACACTATCAGATACCAGAGCCTTTTCTAATTCCAGCATTGCCAGAGGGATAAACCAGCTGATCCGTGGAAGTTAAAGAATCCAGAAACAGACCCACACATATTTGTCGCCTGTTTATCACAGAGACAGTGCTGAGGAACAGTGCGGAAAGAATGGCGTGTAATTTAGACAACAGTGGTGACTCGACTGTAGAAAACATGCACATTATCCTTCTAGAAAAAAATATCTTATTTCTCATACCATATTGAAAGCCAGTTTTATGCAAATTGCTGACTTAAAGGTAAAACCAGAAGGCTTTGAGAGGAAAGCATTGTCACAGCCTCCAGACAGATAAAGTTTCCCCAGCAGGACACAGAAGTCCTGACTGGAAAGAAGAAAAGTCTACGTTCAAAGAAATTAAATTCTTAATGTCTTTTTATGAAAAGACAATGTTAAGAAAATAAAAAGAAATTTCAAAAAGTGGGAGTAATATATCTTCAGCCAAGAATAAGAAACTACTGCAGGACAGTAAGAAGAATCCAGACGCCTGCAAGCCCTCATGCACTGACCGTGGAAGTGAGATGACAGCGACCACCTGCACATCCTCACGCAGCGTCCACGGTGACCTGCAACTCTGCTGCTGGGGATACACCCAGCAGTCACGTGCCCCTCGGAGGTAGGCATTGGCAAATGGGCTGAAATAACACCCACCTCCCAGATGGCAGTGCCCACATGAAAAGTCCTGCTGCACCTGCTGGCCAACTTCCTGCTAACTGCCACCTTGGGAGGCAGGTAAGAGCTCAAGCACTTGGGGCCCTGAAACCCATGTGATGGTTTAAGGTGGAGTTCTGATGTTTCTGGATTTGGTCTGGTGCAGCTCAGAAATTGTGGCCATTTCATGAGTAAACCAAGTGTCACTATGTTTCAAATTTTTTTTTTTTAAGGTTTAAAACACGTTTTAAGGAAGGTTTTGAGGTTTTAAGGAAACTTGCTCCATTGTTTTGTGGGATTTTAAAGTTTGCATGCAGATTTCCTGGGATATGGTTGCACATAACAAACTCACTGAACTGTATTGTCCGGGCCTGGTTACTTTTTTGTGTTTATGTCATGTGATAATAAACAAGGGAACAACCTCACAGAATGTACCATTTATATTTATGGTGCAGTACAATTACAGTTCATTTTGTGTGTGTGTGTGTGTGTTAGTTGTACTTGAAATTCAAGTCTTGCAAGTCAAAACCAGGAGTAATAAAATGAAAATATTCACTGTACTTATTGCCTAACAGAGAGTGATTCCTAAAGCATTATGGGGCTGGTGCCATAGCATAGTGGGCTAAACCTTCAAACCCCAGATGGATGCACTTTTGAGTTCTGACTGTTCCACCTTCAACCCAGCTCCATGCTAATATGCTTGGGAAAGCAGTAGAAGACAGCCCAAGTCCTTGGGTCCCTGCACCCAAGTGGGAGACCCAGAAGAATCTCTAGCTCCTGGCTTCAGATTGACTCAGCTCCAGCCATTGCGGCCATCTGGGGAGTGAACCAATGGCTGGAAGATCTCTGTCTCTCCTTTCCTGTGTAACTCTACCTTTCGAATAAAATAAATACATCTTTTAAAAGTTGACAAGGCACTAGCAATGAAATACCTGGAACTGAAAACCATCTCTGTCACTTCCTGTGTGACATTGGGCAAATTGTGTAATCTTTTTGTACCTTTGTTCGCTCGTTTGTGTTAAGTGGACGGCTGCTGCGAGTGTTCAATAAACTCACACACGTGGAACACTGCAGCTCCTGCCACTCGGCAAACACTACAGGAGGCTGAAGCTGCGGCTCAGCGAGGAGCCCGGGTTCAAGTCTTGGCTGCTCCGCTTTGGGTCCAGCTCCTTGCTAACGCACGTGGGAGGCAGGCAGTGATGGTGCAAGTACTTGGGCCCCTTCCACATGTGGGCGGAGTTCCAGGCTCCAGACTTCCTGGTCCAGTGACAGCTCTTGTGGCAATTTGGGGAATAAACCAGCAGATGGAAGATCTCAGTCTCTCCTTCTCTACATCACTCCACCTTTCAGATAGATAAACAGATACATACACACACCTAGATAGGTAGATATAGATAAGAGTGAGAGAAAGAGAGGGAGAGTGATTTTTAAAAGTAACACTCAGGCCTGGCTTGATGACCTAGTGCCCAATTCCTTGCCTTGCGTGCGCCAGGATCCCTTGTGGGCATTGGTCCATGTCTTGGCTGCCCCACTTCCCATCTAGCTGCCTGCCTGTAGATTGGGAAAGCAGTAGAGGATGGGCCAAGGTCCTGGGATCCTGCACCCACATGGGAGACCCGGAGGAAGCTCTGGGCTCCTGGCTTCAGATTGGCTCACTTGACTCAGCTTGGCCATTGTGGCCACTTGGGGAGTGGACCAGTGGAGGGAAGACCTTTCTCTCTGTCTCTCATGCTCTCTGTAAATCTGACTTTCCAATAAAAACAATAAAGAAATCTTAAGCATTTTTTTTAAAGTAGCACTGGAGCCTAGGTTAGGGGCACACACGCCACCTCTGATGACTGGTGTTTGTGCCTGGGGCTGCTGAGGTGGCACAGGGCAGCACCATCCTGTCGCTACATCTGATGAGAAGTCATAGCTTGCAGGCAGAAAGCCTAAATCCAGATGCAATTTGAGGCTTTGATTTAAGTCCTAGGGAGAGAATAAACAGGGTGGGGTATGAGTGTGGTGACAGAAAAATGAGATGTCAGTGAAAAACCACCTAAAATAATGTAGACATGCAGCCACGGGGTCATGGGTGTGCACAGTCACACAGACAGAGCGGGTGAAACACAGAGCTGAGTGTGACTACAAAGCACTGCCGTTCCCCGGATGTTTAGAATCCTAAGGGACATTTCCAAAAACCACAGCTGCGGATGACTGTGACATGTGACAACGCAGGCGTTATCCTGTAAGTAAAAGCAAGAAGAGCCTCCTGTGAAGTGCGGCCCTCGGGCTCGGTGTTTTAAGGGGGCGGCTCAATCCGCTGCCTACCTCACTGGCATCCCCCATGGATGACGGTTCAGGGCCCGGCGGCTGCACTTCTGCTCTGGCTCCCTGCTAATGAGCTCGAGAAAGCAGCCGAAGATGGGCAAGGGTTTGGCTGCTGCAGAGAGACCTGGGTGAAGCTCCTGGCTCCTGGCTCTGGGTCGGCCTTTAGGACTCTCTTGGGGAGCAAACCAACAGAAAAATCATCTCTCTATTCTGTCGCTGTGTAACACCCCCCCACATGTGACTGCCTTTCAAATAAATCTGTTTAGAAAGCACAAAACGCAGCACCTGGTTGCCAACGACCAAACCAGTCTCCAATGTCCAGGTGCACTAATCCTAATGTCCACAGCACAGAATCTCTCCGAAGCCAAACAAACCCCGTTTCATGTCACCGCACAGCTGGCTGCACAGCTTGAAAAGCTCTTAGAATGAAATGTTGAGAAAACCAAAGGAAACCCATTCATTCAGAGAAACTTCCATCCTCAACTTCTTCAAGGGCCCCAGCCCAAGTGGGTGGGACTTAGCCGGCTCATGAATATGTCTTGTTTCCCGAAAGTTCACAACAAAAAAATATCAAAAGGAATTCCTCTGTTCACATACTAGAAAGATTTATTATGGGCTGGGACCTCAGGTCTTCAGGACTCTTGGCATATCCATCTCTGCCTCCAACACTCGCAGTCACGTCGGGGTGAAGGGCCTGAATTCCCTCCCCTGCCCACAGCGGGGGTCCGGTCGCCGCGGCAGGCCCCGCCTCCCAGGCGGCAAACCCCTCCCCTCTAGCGCGGACCCGCCCCTCCCGCTGCAGGCCCCGCCCCCAGGTGCCCTGGGCCCGGCGGTTCCACGAATAGCGGAGCCCGGGAGGCGGGGCTCGCCGCTTGCCCCCAGGTCTCCCGGGCTCGGCCAATCAGCGAGCGCCCTGTTGGCCATCCGCAGCCTCTCGCGTCCCTCCCTCTCCCGCCGGCCTCCGCGTTTCAGAATCCAAGATGGCGGGATCCAGGCGAGGGGGTCGCCAGGCCGGATTCCGGCCGCTTCTCTGCGCCCTGCTGCTGTGGCTCGGTCGCTTCGTCGAGGGCGACGGCGTGGGAGGCGACCCCTCGGCCCCCGGCGCCGCGGGCACCCAGGGCGAGCTGCCGCATCGCCGTTTCGAGTACAAATACAGCTTCAAGGGGCCGCACCTGGTGCAGAGCAATGGGAGCGTTCCCTTCTGGACCCACGCTGGGAGTAAGCCGGGGCTGCGGGCGGGGGTCCCGGGTCCCCTCCCCGCCTCCTGCAGCCCCCTGTGGCCGGCGAGGGTCCCACGCTAGTCCCCGTTCTATCCGCTCTCGCCTCTTCGACCTCATGGGATACTTTGCGTTTGATCTGCAGGCATCTTGTTTCTTCCTACGGTTCTGCGTGCTCACACTCGCCTGTGGGCATCGCATTTCCCCCTGACGCCACGTCTCCAGGGAACAGGCCCCTGCTGCCTCCTTCCTCGCTGCTTTGCTCTTCTCCCGTGTCAGCCGTGGTCATAATACTCTGGCTTAATGGCCCGTGTCCCCTGATGGCTACAGAGGTGGCATCCATCCGTCGTCATTTCTTAGTCTTTGTCAAAAAAAATTCTTCAGCTGTTTGAATTACACCTTAAGCTTGCCTCTCTCGGTGACTGTGGTCTGTGGGGCTTGTTCCCCTTGTATTAACACCTCGTGTAATTGTCTGGTCACACTGGCGCCTCTGTTGGGTGGGGAGGGGAGATATATTTTTTGATATTGATTGTGAACGTAAGATGAAGGAAGTAAAGAACTCTGTCTTTAGCCCGGTCTTGAAAAGTGGAGAGAGCTCTGCTGCAGGGCTGATCTGCTCTCTGACACTCTTGTTGATTGGCCAGAGAGCTTGCTGGAGTGCTTTACTTTTGTGGAAGAGAACTTGTCTGCACTTTTGAATGCTGATGTGTCACTGCTGACTAAAGCATTGGCCTTGGCACTGTGCCTGCCGGGAGTCTGCCCTGTGACCATCAGCTGTTACCCTCTGAAGCAAGCAGGAGAGGAGGAAGCTCAGTCCTCATGTGTGATGAAGTAACTGCTTATATAACAGCTACCTACAGATCATTTTCGAGCATCTGATGATTGAGACAAAATGTTGTATCCCTAGAAAGGACTGAGTAGGAATCCTGCCTTTAGGAAAGGGCCTTTCCCTCAAATTAATGTGTAATTAAAGGTTATAAGCTTCAATTTGACTTAATGACCAAGTCATCAAGTATTTGAAGTAGAGCACAATTATTTGCTCCCGGCACTTGTTTATTACGCGCCCGTTCCATGGAGAGGTAAGGCTGGGCCTGTTAACACACAGCGCGGTGCACATGGTCTCAAAACAGTGTTTTTCTCATTCTCTTTCTGGTGATGATGAGGTTTTCAGCCATGGGGATGGTTTTTTCCATGGTTTTTGCCTCTGCATCTCCAGTGCCTGCCGGTTTTTTCTCTCTCTCCATCTCTCTTCTCTTACTCATGGACACAGCACATCAGCCAATTTGGAAGCACAGTCATATGCTCAGATTAGTTGCCTTGACTTAGTTGCCCACTTAGTCTAGCCAGCCACAGAAAGGGCAGGTTCCGCACCGCATGATGAAGGCGAGTGGCTGGCCATGGCCGTGCCGCCGACCCTGGGAACCATTGCTGTGGGAAGCCCTTCCTTTTCTTGTCACCACCATTCTTACAGTCTCGCTGGTTACTCTATTCATCATTGCTTTTCATTTTTTTCTTGCCACCCATTATTTGAAACAATTCAAAACTGAAGAGATTTTTAAGGATTTATTTATCAGAACAAATTTTACAGAGAAGGAAGGAGAGACAGAGCTCTCTTCCATCTACTAGTTCACTCCCCACATGGCAGCGATGGCTATAGCCGAACTGACTCAATACCATGAGCCAGGAGATTTTTCCAGGTTTCCTACATTGGCATAGGGTCTCCAGGACTTGAGCCATCACCCACTACTTTCCCAGGCCGTGAGAAGAGAGCTGGATTGGAAGTGGAGCAGGTGATACACAAGCCAGCACCCATATGGGATGTCAACATCCTAGATGGAGGATTAACCTGATGTGCCACAGTGTTGGCCTCAACAAGGAGGAGACTTCAGCCCAGCCCTAGACCCTGTTAGGGTCAGATCTACGCTGTTTGTCTTTCCTAACTCTAGTGTCATTTTGTGCTATCAGTGCACATCCTTAGGTCCAAAAGGGGAGAAAAATGGTAACAATTTGTAGACGTGTGTAACTCTTAAAGCTCTTTCACCTTCATCCTCTGATGAGATTGCTAGTAGACAAGGCAGATATTGCCCGTTTTATAGAAGAATGAGAGTGTTCTGAAAGGCTGAGGGTTCCTGGAGAAGCCTGCACAGCTGGCAGGTGTCAGGAAAGCCGAATGTAGATGTGGGACTTGTGCCCTGGCCAGTGCTCCTGGCATACTGCCACTCCTCCCCAGAGGTGATGGCAGCAACTGAGCTAGTCAAACTATCCCGACTTTCCATCAGTTTTCCTACCTGCAAAGTGGTATTATAGCTGTCTTATTCTGGTAGTATTTGATAGATATGTTAGAGCTGGTGGGCGCTTTCCTAACTAGTCCTGTAATGGAACAGCTGACATCTGTTGTAGAGTCTGCACTTCTGTGGGCACCTGTGAGGTTTAGGGAAATGTAGCCATGTGGCTAAGATCAGACAGCTGGCAGGTGGCAGAGTTGGGGTTTGAAGATGGCTTGAAGGTGAAGAGCACAGTGGTTGGAACCAGTGTTTACTCCAAGAATTTGCTGAAGCGATGGGATTGTTTATTGAATGGAAATTAAGTTGTTGCCTCTCCCTAGAATGTATGTATCCACAGTGTCTTGCATGTAGCTTTTAGGAGTATTTATAGAAGTGATTAAGCACAGCACAGGGGAGCATATGGTGAACTGAAGAGAGTAGACCTGTTTGTTCAAAGTCACACCACTGAGCTGAGACTAGGAGCCAGTCTGTTGTTTCCTAGTGACCTGTTCTTTTTCACGCTGTTTGAGCTCTCTGACCTGTGTGAAGTGGTAAAATAATTGCACGTTACAGTGCTTTTCTGAATAGTAATGTTTAAGGATACTGCTAAACAAATATCACAATCAAATAGTGTTTGCCTTGTAAGTCATAAATTTCTCCTTTATCCTAACTCTGGAATTTTTGGTCTTTTGTATGCAGCTTTAATATATATATATATATATATATATACAAATATATATGTTTTGCAGAGATATTTTATCATTTGGAGCTAAAGGAAATGTTATCCTTAAACTTTTATTAAAGTTGAAGCTGTTAAGAAATTATTTTCTAACAAAGTTATTGTACAGGTTACTGAGTTAAAATTTGATTTCTCTAGATATAAGTAGCAGTTTGTTAGTGACTTCATTGAATTGTTCCTAATTATAATGTAAAGTTTTTCTCGTCTGGTTTTTGTTTTAGATGCTATTCCAAGTTCAGATCAAATTCGAATAGCACCATCTTTAAAAAGCCAAAGAGGGTCAGTGTGGACAAAGACAAAAGCGGCCTTTGAGAACTGGGAGGTGGAGGTGACGTTTCGAGTGACCGGAAGAGGTCGGATTGGAGCAGATGGCTTAGTATGATCACTCCATTTTTAAAAATAATATTTATTTATTTGAAAGGCACAGTTGCAGAGAGAGGGAGAGACAGAGAGAAAAATTTCTTTGCTGATTCACTTCCCAAAATGGTCCCAACCATCAGAACTGAGCAGGATCACAGCCAAGAGCCAGGAGCTTTTTCCAGGTTCTGCACATGGGTGACAAGGACCCATGGAGTTGGGCAATCTACTGCTGCTTTCCCAAGTACATTATCCAGGAGCTGGGTTGGGAATGGAGCAGTCAGTGCTGGAAGTGGTGCCTGGATGGGACACTGGTGTTGCGGGCTGTAGCTTTGCCTCCTGTGTCATAGTGCCAACCCCACAATCACTTTTTTAATTTAGAAAATGTTTATAAATACGAATGCCTGTAACACTGGTCCCTAACTCTTCCTTATGTGTTTTCAGGCAATTTGGTATACAGAAAACCAAGGTTTGGAGGGCCCTGTGTTTGGAGCAGCTGACATGTGGAATGGTGTTGGAATATTTTTTGATTCTTTTGACAATGATGGAAAGGTATGGATATTGTCCACTTTAATATGTGCCAAAAAGGTTAGGCTGAGAAGTAGAGCTTATTTGATGCTTTGACTCCTTTAACAGTAGTTCTTGAGCGGTATTTTAATTATGATGATTAGTTTTTATATAGCTAAAAATTGTGTTAATATTGCATGGGCATGATTTTTCATAGGCCAACTGTGAGACTTGTGCAATGACCTTCTTGCTACATGTGCTTAATTATCTTCATGGATACACAGGAATCTTTAGATGTTGACAGGGAAACCAGTAGCCTTTAGAAGACTTTGACAGTTTGTTTTCTTGAGTCCATCCAAGTATAGGACTATAACTAACTTCCATAGTCTTCTCCTATGTTTATCAATTTTTTTAAAAACAAAGTTTCTTTCTTTGAAAGGCAGAGTTAAAAAGGGAGATACAGAGATTTTCTGTCTGCTAGCTTACTCTCCAAATGGCCCAACGGCCAGATCTGGGCCAGCCTGAAGCCAGGAGCTTCTTGCGGATCTCCTACATGGTTGCAGGGACCCAAGCATTTGGGCCATCCTCCTGCTTTCCCAGGCCCATCAGCAGGTTACTGAATTGAAAGTGAAGCAGCTGGGACTTGAACTGGCCCCCATTTTGGATCCCAGCAAATGGCAGCTTTCTGTGCCACACCACAGCATCAGCCCCAATCATTGTTTGATCATGACAGGTTGTCTCACAATCTCTCCTAAAATAATTCAGAATAAAATGTTCTTACACACTGTAAATGTGATTTGGCTACCTAGTTACCTTATGACTGATGACATTCCTGTGGGTTGATTGTTTGCAGATTTTCAGAGATGATTTGCAATTTAAAGGATAATTTTAGTAGCTCCTTAAATGCCACCGTATTATTTTAAAATTTCAAGTTCTATGAAAAAAAATTAAAATTTCAAGTTTAGAATTTTTAAGTATGTGAGAGATCATATAGCACATCAAGATTGAGCTAGAAATCCTTAAGAATTTAAATGTTTTTTTTATTTTTAGAAAAATAATCCTACTATAGTAATTATAGGCAACAATGGAAAAATCCAGTATGACCATCAAAAGTAAGTATATGATTTTTACAGTATCCTAATCTCAGCTTCCCTTTGGAAACTTTATGAAATACTTTGTTTCAAATATGAACACTTTCCAAAGGAAATGATATGTCCTTGAGAATATTTTGTAACTTGGTGGAAAGATGTTAATCTAGTTTAGTTCTGTTTTGAAATTCTTTTTGTAGGCCACCTCAGATTTCAAAAATAGAATGTTTTTATTCTACCTACAATTATTATAGATTTTTGGGAAGTTTGTAGAATATTTCAGCTCTTAATGATGTCATTAGTCATGCATTTTCATCTTTGTTAGAAAAAGATGTTTGAAAAATAAGGTTGAATTTTGACCAAACTGATAAATAAGTGGCTTATGCCACCTTATTCAAGTTTAATATTGCTTTATTTAAAGATTTAAGTGTGTTACAAATCTTGAAAGTGTTTAGTGTACTTAGGGTGAATAAACTTGAAATAGCCCAAACTTTGTCCTAACTTTGTATTATTTCAACCTTCCTAAAGTTGTAGATATGGAGAAGCTTTGTAAGTTTCTTGTCTTCCTGTCTGTTGCAGAGATGGTGCCGATCAAGCTTTAGCGAGTTGCCAGAGAGACTTTCGGAATAAGCCCTATCCCGTGCAGGCAAAGATTGTGTATTACCAGAAAACGCTGATAGTAAGTAACGGGAGTGTAGTCATCGTCAATGAGCAGATTCTCATATGACTTTTCACTGCAAATTCTGAGAGAAATGCAGCACACCTACCTTTGGAAGTTGTTGTAGTATCTGTCTGCATTGTAAGAGAAAAAAATGTGACCTCAGAGCTCCACGTAAGTGGTGACCTTTGTCAGACCTTGGCAGTGGGCTTCTACTCGGGCAGGCAGTACCTGTGTAGTCACTACCTTAGAGTATGGCACATGTTTTCTGTGTCTCCAGGCCTTCAGGGTGCCAACCGGAGTAACAGGCCACAACGTGCAGTGTCCCGCTGTGTCTTAGAAACTGCCACGATTAGACACGGGAAAGTCAGGAATGATTTCTCAGCTCGGACTGCTTCATCAGGCAGGAGCGGGCAGTTCCGAGCAGAGGAGGAATCTGTGTGTGCGCTAGTCTCAGAAAGCAGACACGCACCCTTCGAAGAGCTGAGCTGTTGGGAAAGGCAAGTGGTTTGTGTGGCTGGAAGTTAGCAGGAGTCAGTGGGAAGGCAGTTGGGAAAGTGGGCAGTGACAGGTGTTGTGTGGCTTATGCACTTCACCTGTAATGACTTCTTAAAAGTTGAAAGAAATTTAGGCAGGAAGTACACTTACCAGATTTTCATTTTGGAAAGATAATTTAGACCTGCGCATTTTCTTGATGGTGTGTATTTATGAAAAGTGGAGAGTCAAAATAATACAGATTTCTGCATTTTGATGTTTCTCGATTCATACTCATAGGCTGTCCTGTGGGGTTACCTCCCCATTTTGTACACAGGATGTTAATATGTCCATGTACCTTGGACAGTGTCATGGTAAATAACAGGATGGATTTTAATCCAGTTTTGTCTACCGACAAGAGCCTGCCTGTGTTCTTGCGAAGGTGGTGGCACAGGGAAGGTGCAGGCGATGGTTAGGAGGTGGGAGCTGTTGGACTCAGTGTGGGTTTGCTTGAGATTGGAAGGTGAACACAATGTAGTCAGGGGTGGTTCCTGGATTTCTGGCCCAGTGAACCAGTGACCGGTGCCGCTGACCAGCGGAAAAGTAGCACATTTGTTCGTGTTTGGGAGAGAGATGGGATATCCGAGGATCGGTGATGAGTTCAGCTGTAGGTAAATTGAGTTTAGAGGCATGTGCATGCCTGTGTTCAACTGGCATTAACAGCTAAAATTACACATGTATTTTTTTAGATTTACTTTTTAAATTTTTATTTGAAAGGCAATTACAGAGAGAGAAGGAGGGACAGAGAGAGAGGCATCTTCCATCCACTGATTCCCTCCCCAAATAGTCACAGTAGCCAGGTCGGGGCCAAGCTGAACAAAGACATGAGCTAGGAACTCCGTCCCGGCCATCCACCTGAGTGGCCAAGGCCCAAGCAGGACGTTGGGGTAGCTGGGACTTGATTTGACATCTAATATGGAATGGCAGTTGGGCTTTAAAGCCAGCCTCTTGCTAATGCTTTTTTTAAAGCTGTTAATATATGTACTTTTGAATTTCAGCTTAGCTATATATTTTTATGACTTTTCCTATTAATGTTTTTGTTAACTTCCCAGGATAATCTTGCTTGTTCATAGTTTGTAATGTTGCACGTGGCTCAGGTACTTGAATGTTTATTAAATTATTATTTGTGCCCTCAGCTGGTTCCAGTTGTTTCCACGTCTTTGAGAAAGGTAGAGTAAGGAGAGGTTGAAAGCAGGAAGTGCTGTTGGAGAAACAGGGCAAAGCCAGAGCGTTTAAATACCACAATGTAGTCAGGAACAGGGGATGGAAGCTGTAGGAAGAATAAGGGGTCACTGGCGATGTTATAACGTGCTCTGGCATTAAGCCATGAGTGTATTTTAGCCAGGCTTCAGTTAAATTCCTGACATGCCTGCTCATTCTTTGTGCAATGAATATATTATACCTTTTTCGGTGAAAAAAAAAGTCAGTTTGATGAGCGGAGTCTTGATGAGTGGTCGGACACCAGGAGCAACCACAGAGCAGTTGCAGGTTGCTAATGTTGGACTTAGACCACGATTCACTTACTTTTTTCACATTCAGAGGCAGTTGTGTTACCAGGTATTGATTCCGGTTTGAAAGACTGGTTAGATGACCTGTTGTAAATGATGTAAACCGAAATTGCGAAATTACTAATCAGAGGAAACCACTACTAATATTAGTTAACAAAATGACGTGATATTGAAAACTAGTGCTTTGTAACCAGTTGTTAGTTTGCATGTTTCCATCTCACAGTTCATAGAGTTGAACCCTTCTGAAAGGCACACCTTTCTTTGCTGAGCATTTGGACAGCATTTTGCCCATGTGACTTAACTGTCCCTGGTGGAGGTCTACTCTGGAGGTCAGGATAAAAGGGGCCCACCCCGTTGTATGCACTCAGTGTCCTAGTGACTCCCCTGATTGCTTGTCAGAAGGGTGTTGAAACTACACCCTTTCTTGACTGGATTAAGAAGAGTTTCTAGTGGATTAATATGCTTTCTAGAATTCTTTGATATATATGTTCTGCAAAGTAGAAACTTACATGTCTTTTTGGGTTTTTCAGTTACCCTCTGTTTTTTTTACCAGTACGACTTGTCACTTTTCTTGGGTTTTCTTTGGCATTCCAATTACCCTCCTAAGTTAATAAAGAGGAACCTACTGCTTGTTGAAGCAGTCTTGGTAATCTTCAAGCTGCTGTGGCTAACACTGCAGTTTAGTCCGTTGGTTTCGGTTCTGTCATGGGTTTTAGCACAGGCCTGGCCTCTTCCGAATGGCCCATTTCAGGAGCAGGAACAGGATGACCTGGGTCTTCTCAAGAAAGCTTGAACCGTATTTCATTTTAGAGAAATTGTTTTGGAAACTTCCCAAGTGTTTCTCTTTTTAAGTCTTTGACACAAGTAGAGCCAAAAACATGAAGTGATAAGCATAATGTTGTGTCGTGATACCAAGTAAATGAGGTTATTTAGGATTACTCGTTATAATAATGGAAAGAGGCAGGATTGGGTAGTCTTTGTCATAAACTTGACTTAGTTGAGATTCCCTTAACAGTGTCTGTATAAAATCTATAGCTGCATTATGTCTTTCTAGGTCATGATCAATAATGGCTTTACACCAGACAAAAATGATTATGAATTTTGCGCTAGAGTGGATAATATGATCATCCCCTCACAAGGGTATTTCGGAATATCTGCAGCAACTGGAGGCCTTGCAGGTGACTCTCGTTAGCTTTCGGTATTAAATGTTTGTGAATTGACGTTTATTGGAAATATTGTGTCTTGGGGATATGTGCCAGTTGGGACCATCCCATAGTTAGCTATGATTCACACAAGCATGTAGCTATATGTAGGCAGGGGTGGTTAATACAAATGTGTGAATTCCAGCATCAGTTTGGGCACCATTTTACAGGAAGAGACACATTTAAAGTCAAGGCTATAGAAGGTTAATTGCCAGGCCTTTTAGATATGTGAGAGGTGTCACTTGACATGCATAATGAATTTGGCCACCTGACAAAATGTTATTTGGGGACTAAATTTAAAAATTTTAGCTACCTTTTTTTCCACATAGTTGATAAATTATCATTTGATGTTATTACTTTTTGGGTTTATATTATATGGTACACTATAGTTTTAAATATTTTTGAATGTACGGGTTATTCTTTGCAACCCAAGGAGAGAACAAGGAGGGGTTATGTTTTTCCTATTTTTAGGTGGATTTGCCAAATTTCAGACCAAAGGAGTTTTCTGAAGATCGTGTAGCGAGCAGCATCAGCCAAGGAAGGGCTTTGACTCTCTGACTCTCCACCACCGCACAGCTTCTCCTCAGCACTGCGGGGTTGCCAGTGTTCTCAGTGAACCTGTCTACGTTTCTAAATCTCAGTCAAAGGGGTGGAGAGCATAAAGATTGCTGCACACTGAAATTAATTCTCTTGCTTTGTGGTGAGCAGTCAGTAAGTGTTGAGTTCAGCGTGAGGAAGCTGAGCTGCACAGTTCCTGTTCTCCACTTGAACACTTGAGAGCAGTTGAACTTCTTGTGAGTTTTAGATAAAATTAGTGTTATCTTCCATGTGAACCAGATGTGGAGCTAAGGCAAAAAGTAATATGTGCTCTAAGAAAAGTCCAGCACAAGAAAGGTAGAGGGGATAACTGGAGAAGAGAGCTTGGCTTTATTCGGTGGGGACATTGGTGAGACAGTACGGGGCGATCTTGGTGCCAGGGTATTGTGTTGTTGTTTTTTAAGGTGAGTTCATAGCTAAGGAGACTGTCTGTCCGTGAGTTTTAATTCCCTGCTTTTTTTCTTTCGGATTTGTAGATGACCATGATGTCCTTTCTTTTCTGACCTTCCAGTTGACGGAGCCTGGGAAAGAGCCAGTAAGGAGACACGGTTGTTTCAGTGGTCAGTGGGGTTGGCCCGTGCTGCACATGGGGCACAGGGACGGTGGAGCTGGGGTAGGCCGGGCTCCTGCCTGTGGCCGCCTGTGAGGTCACCCGGCCTCTGTGGCACCCGTGTCTTCGCGGTAAAATAGGCATTTGTGCTGGCTGCGTTCTGACATTGTGAGGAAGAAGTTAGTCGGCGCATGCCCCTCAGTGGGTGTCCAGCATATGGTGGCATTGACTGTTCCTTTGTGGTTAGGAGTAACATGAATAAATTCACCATGATTATATGTAAGGAATAACATTTTTCTGTTAATCTCCCAGCTAGTGGTAGCATAGTTAATATGAGAAGTAGAGCATACGTTGACGTATCTTGCTGGTTTTCTGATCTTTTTCATGATCTGTTCTTAAATGGAAAAATTTTTTTAAAAGCCTACCCCAGATAGAGACATTTTGGACAAAGAAAAAGAAAAGTACCAGGAAGAGTTTGAACACTTCCAACAGGAATTGGATAAAAAGAAAGAGGAATTTCAGAAGGACCACCCCGACCTCCAGGGACAACCTGGTGAGTGGCAGAGGAGCTGACGTGGTGGGGGCTGTGGCTGTGGGTTTGTGTTTGTCTTGGCCTATTTTCTGAACTGGCATTTTCCAAGTAACTTGTGTAAGCAACTTAGGAGCGGGTCTTCAGTCTGTAAGGGTCTGGAGATGGCATTTATATGAGTGAGAATGTGGTTAGTCCACTAGACCGCGGTTGCACGAGAATGGACAGTGAAGCACTGAACGGGAAGGCCGTGAGGACAGGGATGTTGTTTGCCATTTTATGTATTATTAGGAGTTAAGGAACAATATTCATTAATGAAGATGTTTTGTCTTTTATTTTACTGGTATAGAATGACCTTATCATAGGGACAATACTTGAAAAATATTAAGATTAAAATAGTCTAAGCCAGTGTAATTTAAGACCTTGAGTATAGTGATGTCAAAATAAAACATGTTAGAGCCATATAGAGTGACTTTAATTATCTGCTCTCTTTTATTCTGGTTTATTCCCCACCAACATAAATGATTGAGGCATTCCTAACAAACCCATCTCTGGCATTTGAACATTATGTAGCATGCATTTCTTTAAATGATCAACTGTCTCATTCAGACTTAATATGCATTCTTTTCTTGAATTTGTTTTAAACATCATCACATGATTTGGAAATATACCGTGCAGCTGATTGTAGTAACTTTGAATAATATAGTTTGCCTAATGTTGACAATTGTGTGTGCCCGTTAAACTATTCCATTAGTATACAGAATGCTTGTATCACCCCAGGTTCCTCATGCCCCCTTCAAGTTAGCATTCTCCGTAGAGCCCATAGATATTTTGATTTCTATCACCATTGATTAATGCTGCCTAGCCATATAAATAAAATCACATAGTCTATATAAAAAAAGTTATTTCAAATCTAATTTATATAAAGCTCATCTGTTAGAGATGATCATATTATGTTAATGCTTTGGTCACTGGTCATATTTTTGTTAGAATTTTATAGAAGAAAGCAATGAGCGTTATTAAACACCAAAATTGTATGTTGTTACATGTACATAAAGGGAAGGTGACTGTGACACTTGGTATACAAGTATTTAACACTGAAGTTTTGAGTGTGAAAAACAGGAAGTACAAAGCCACACAGACATTAAGTGCTGCAAAGTTACACTACAAAGCAGAAAAAATTGTTCAAGCAACTATGGGAGAGTCCGTGGCATTGATCTAAATGCTTGCTCGGCCTTGTTTTGATTCCTGTTAATGCTTCAGACTGTTAACTGAGCGTGTTCAAGTACTGAGAGTAGTGAGAGCTGGCGTTTGCAGTGCCATGTGCGCTGTCCACACCAGGTGATGGTGTCAGAGCCGTCCTAAGAGACGAGCGTGGGGTCCAGGGCTGTGCTCCCACCTTTATGATCCTTCATGAAGCGGTAAATGGGGGTCACTCATCACACTTTGAAAGCCACATGTATGTAAGTGATTCTAATTTCAATTTGTAATTTCTTTCTCAGCGGATGATGTATTTGAGAGTGTAGGAGATCGTGAGCTAAGACAAATCTTTGAAGGACAGAATCGGATCCATCTGGAAATCAAGCAGCTGAACCGCCAGTTAGACATGATTCTGGATGAACAAAGGAGATATGTCTCTTCACTGACAGAAGAGATCTCCAAGAGAGGAGTCGGGGTCCCGGGACAGCATGGGCAGGTACGCTGCCAGCCCGCACTGGGCAGTGGTGGGAGGGGAGCAGAGAGGAGGGAGGAGAACAGGGCCGCTGCGCCCTGTGCCCCTGTATGATGCCAGTGACTGAGTTGGCTGGTCTGCTTTCCTTCTTTCAGATCAAGCAACAAGAAGTGGACAGTGTTGTGAACGCCCAGCAGGAGATTCTGAGACAAGTGAACGAAGTGAAGTGAGTATGTAGGAGGAGTGGCAGGGTGCTTGCTTATCCTCAACTTGTGACCCATCAAGGTGTGCAGGCACGGAATTGCTTTAAGGTTCCTGCATGAAGGGAAGAGTCACGTCTAGATTCATTTTATAAACGGGAGTAAATATAGGAATTTTGAAGATTAGAAACATTGTCTAAAATTTAAAGTGTCATAAGTTACAAAAGAACAAAAATGCTGTTACATCTTTTAAGAAAATAAGGGATTTGTAATAATTGCTTGACAAGCATGTTCTTGTATTTATAAAATATTTAAAAATGGGGTAATGCTAATAATTGTGTGGAACCCACTGGGGTGAGGGAAGAAGCATCTGTGGGATGCTTCATGGGAACGCGATGCAGTCAGATTGGATGCCAGTTCTTCTTTGTGGTAAGTTGGAACCATTTTGAAGGAATTAGGTGTGAATGCATGTGGTAATTCTAAGATCCTTCCAGTCAGCTGCTGTGTTCTTTCAAGCTGTTCCCATTTTTAACTCTTTTAAGATATGCACATGATCCTGTATTCTACTTTCTAGAGCAGTGCCATGCCTTGCTCATCTTGTTTTGTATGCCCCAACTCTGGAATCAGCTGCTTCTGCAACAAGTCCTAGTAAGGGTATTTGAAAACCAGGATCTAGGCACTGCGTGCGCCGTGTGTGCCCATCACATGGGCGGTCCATTGCTCCGAGTCTGAGTGTCAGCCAGGGGATGAAGGTGCTGTACCGAATCATAGCTGTGCTCACGTCTGTGCATCTGTACCCATCAGTCTGCTTTTGTGTTCGCCGTGAGCCACTCTGGATCCCTCTGGGCTCAACTGTTGAGAGCAGATTTTCAGCTTCTCTGCCCATTTGAGGATTCTTTCTTCAGCAACAGAAAGCTATTTGTAATGTATTATTGAATTTTAGTATGTACATGATAAGTACATTTAAAAAGTGATTTCAAATTGTTAGTGTGTGTCTGTGTAGAAACACATTTACTGATGGGTTTGTGTGAACGTCCTCTGTCTCCAGCCCTGAGAGTGTCTAGCCCAGCTGTTACTTTCCTGCTTGGTACTTGGTTTACCTCTCTTCACTGTGATTAATTTTACTCATGTATAATCACTAGGTTTGTATAAGTGTCTATATTCCTCCTGTGTTCTGGTTGATTTTAATTGCCTGTGCATTGAAATAGAAAGGGTTCTATGGATTGAGCAGGATTTGGCCGCCCAGTTCAGTCATAAAGCTGTGTATTGGTTGAGGAGTTGTGGCCTCTGGTCCAGGCACGATAGTGTTACAGCGGACAGCAGGTGGCCCGCGCCAGGTCTTGGGCTCACCCGGGCATGCTGTTGGAATGTAGTTCTCAGGAGAGGGGACTGACTGAGGGGAGTCCGACGCAGCTGCTCCCTGCTTCCTGGCTCCTCCTGTTTCTCCATCGCCTCGTCATGCCTGCTCCTGGGACGTGAGCCAGAATAAACCTTCTACTTCCTAAGTGGCTTCTCTCAGATTTTTTAGATAAAGCAGCGAAAAAGTGACTAATACAGAAGGATGAGAATATGCTGGTGATAAGAACCAGAGCCTTAAACTATGTAATCACAGAAGTATCACTCTCCCAACTGCTGCGTTACCCATTCACACGCTCCCTGTGCGCTCTCCCGTGCCGTGGTGCTGACTGCTTTGTCTTTGGTACGTGGGTGCTTCCTTAGATTTCCTTTCTCCCATGAGGCTAGCGTAGTCTGGGTACTGCCATGCTTTATTTGTGTCACTGAACAGCAGTACTAGCAATCTTGACATTTAGCCGTGGTTAGGCATCCTAGCCAGACAGTTGAATTATCCGTGAAAGTACTTCCTGTGGGTAGTTAGCAAGGCTTACCTCTTCCGCTTACTGGGAACAAATGCTGTAAAAACAGTAAGTTAATATAAAAACTGAACTCAAGATTTTTGGCTTAATCCTCTAGGACTTTTTCTTCAGGATTAAACTTCAGAAAAGATGCAAAGTGATAAGAAATGTTAGCCGTTTATGGGGAAAATGTTTTATATCTGAGGATTTTCATATTAGGCTAATTCTTTTTCTTTAACAAATACATTTTCAAAAAAGTTTCAGGGAGTCAGAGAGAGGGACAGAGTTGCTGCGGTGGCTGAGGCCATCCCTGGGAGCTGGGATGTCAGTTCCAGTCTGCCATGTGGGATGCCGCACTGGAGCCATCACCGCTGCCTCCTGCAGCTGCGCTCACAGGAAGCTGGGGCTGGGAGTGAGACCAGAAATTGAATCCAGGCATCAATGCCGGAACCCATAGGCCAAATACGTACCTTGAACATTTTATTTATTTATTTATTTTAGCAGAAAGCAAGCTTCAAAAAGTATACAGTATAACCACCAGCTTACAGAATGAAGAAAGGGGCCCTGAATGATGTTAAGCTATAAGGAAAAGAAACTTTTTGTCACGTATTAAGTACATATTACTCCGGGATTGTCATTGCTTCTGGGTCTTTCAGCAGAGTTAGGAAAAATTTTTTCTCTTTGGTGTTTGAATGGGGGTACTTAAAAAGTTCATGGAAAATTAATATAGATGACCAAAAACTGCCTCAGTTCTAAATATTTTTGCACTAAAATAAAGCTGTGTTTTTATTGTTTTTTCCGTGCAGTCTTTTGAAGTACCCTCAGGTATGATGGCTGATGTCATTTGACCATTATAACATTTTTAAAATGTTGAATTCAGAATATTAATGCTCTTTTCCATGATTGAGCAACATGTGTCGTTTCCTGTTCACCTCACCCATTTTATTGTGTACTGTTGCATTCTAGATATCCTGCTGGGCATTACCACGTGCGTGTGTTAATATTTTCCTCTGGGACTCTATTCTGCTTCTTCAGCCTATCCCCCATAACAGTACTTATTCATTCCTGATATTTTTTAAGATTTATTTATTTTTAATTGGAAAGGAAAATTTACAAAGATGACAAAGATCTTCCATCTGCTGGTTTGCTTCTAAGTGGTCGCAGTGGTCAGAGCTGAGCTAATCTGAAGCCAGGAGCTTGTTCTGGGTCATGCAGGCGCAGGATCTTAAGGTGTTGGGCCATTCCACTGCTTTCCCAGGCCACAAGCAGGGAGCTGGATGGAAAGAGGAGCAGCTGGGACACAAACTGGCACCCATATGGGATCCCACTGCTTGAAGGGGACTAGCCAGTTGAGCCATTGCTCATTCTTGATTAGCTTTTTATCCATCCCTGCTCACACTGTCTCATTCATGTACTCTCCAGCCTCCTGCCCTGCATGGGCCCTGGCCACCACCTCTGCTCTTCATGATGGCTGTCCTTGCTGCCTCCACTCTTATTTCCCTCCACATACTGGGCTCCATCCACACTGAACTATAAGCTTTCATCTTGCTGCAGAGGAGTATTAATCCAGGGGAAATATATATATATTTTTAAGATTATTTTCATTTGAAAGGCGGAGTTACAGAGAGAAGGAGAGAGAGATCTGTCTTGTGTTTGCTGGTTCACTCCCCGTCTAGCTGCAGTGGATGGAACTGACTGATCAGGTGCCAGCAGAAGCCTCTTCCTGGTCTCCCACATGGGTGGCAGGGGCCCAAGGGCTTGAGCCGTCCTCCACTGCTTTCCCAGGTTGTAAGCAGGGAGCAGGGTCAGAAGTGGAGCAGCTGGGACTCAACATGGCGCCCATATGGGATGCTGGTGCCAAGGGAGAAGCTCAGCCTGCTACACCACAGCACCGATCTCATAATCCAGGACAGGTTTTTAACCCTGGATCCTCCCCTTTCTGTGAGCCCTGAACCCTGCTTTACTAGTTCTGTTTCATCTTCTACCTTTATCTAGCCCTTAGGATCATTTTCTCCCATTTTTAAAGGACTTGCTCTTCTGTAGTTTATGTCTAATCAGATCAGTGCAAATCTTGAACTACACTGCTTTCCTGCCCTTCACTGTCACTTTCTCTTTTTCCTTTCCATTTTTGCTGAGTTTCAAGAGTTAGGCATAGGACCTGTCTGCATTTTCAGAGTCCCGTAGTTTGACATCAGATCACTGAACTCTTCTCTGCAGTCACTGGTACCGAAATGAGCCCCTTCCAGTCCTCCTGCTGGAGCACCTGCTTGCTCTTCTCCATCCAGAAGCTTCTCAAGGCTTCCAGCAGGTCATGCCCTCAGCATTCTTCAGCTTCAGTCATCTCTGGAAAGGTGTTTTTCTTTAGGGTTCAGTCTTGTCCTCTTTTCATCTGGCCCGATCCCTAAACTAAACCTTACTGCCTGACCACAGCTCTACCCGGCCGGCTGGGTGCCCGTCTAGGTGAAGCACCTCTGCCAGGGCTCTGGTTGTTGGTGTCATTCCTCTGACTAGGCTAGGAGCCTCAGCGGGATGCAATCAGATTTCCTTCTCACGGTTTATATCCTTAAAAATGTCCAGGTTTATAGCATGAACCAAATCAATGTTGGCACAGCCAGTAGGCAAATGGATGAATGATTGAATAGCAGCTCATTAGGTGACAATCTTTGTGTATTAAAAAGACATTTATATGCAAATAAGTTCAGGCTTCTGAGAAATAATATTCTTAAATTCAGATGCCTGAGGAAGTTGTATGTTCTGGGAAGCTTTAGGCTTAATCAGTATTTTAAGTGTATTAAAATGTAATCCTTAATTTGGGTTTTAATGGAGACGCTTAAGCTCATATGAATATTTTTTGATGTGTATGCCATTAAAGGAATTTTAATCAACACACGATATTGATACAGAACACACTTGTAATATTTTGTAGCTAGTTTTTAAGAAGATCTGCAAGTGATTTTCCAATTTAGAAGACATTAATTTTTTTTAAAACACAGAAACAGATTTTTTTTTAAAAAAAGATCTAATACATGTATATTAAGCTCAAAAGGTTATAGCTGTTTGAAGCCCGTGACTTGAAAAAGCTCGTCTTCCCAGTGATTCCCCGAGGTAAAGGGAGTCTCTGTTGCAGGAATTCCATGAGTGAAGCGGTGAGGCTGGTGAGCGGGCTGCAGCACCCCGGCTCCGCGGGCAGCGTCTACGAGAGCACGCAGCACTTCACGGACATCAAGGAGCACCTGCACATGGTCAAGAGGGACATAGACAGCCTGGTGCAGCGCAACATGGTGACTTGGCCTCCTCTTCCCCTGGTTGTGGTCTCCTTAGGAAGCCAGCTCCTACTGTCTTGTACTGAAAGTATTTTCTTCCGTGCTTTCCCTGTGTCCTGGTTCCCCAGTCTTTCTGATTGAACAGTTCCCACAGCAGGTAACCCCGCATATGCAGAAGTGTGGCCCGGGACTCAGACCTCCCAAGCCGTGAATTTTTATATGTCGGGTTTTCATTATCATTCAGAGAAAATATTTTCTGATTTCACACATTGATTAAAGTGTATTTGATATCTTCTCCCCCACCCCACCAAGGTTTTGATCTGCTCATTTCTTACTGTATTTTTTGGTTTCATTTGCTTTGCACTGGGTTTTATAGGTTTGGATTGAACTGGATTGGTTTGTGGCTCTGCTGTCTTCCGTAAGAACTGTTTGGCATATGGTTGACCCATATTGCCTGGTTTACCAAAAATAGTTCTAATCCCTTATATTTATGTAGAATTTATCTTCTTAAAGGCTTTCATGTATGTGTGTATGTGTATATATATATGTATATATACACACATATGATAGCCTTTAGGAAATATTTTAAGTGAATATGTTAGTAACAACATTAGATTAAACCTTTCCTAAGGTTACTAGCTAGTGAGTTGTACAAGAGGGAAAGACTTGTGTCTTGGATTTCTGATCTGTCTGCTCTGTGTTTTTGGAAACTACCTTTCCTTACCCTATTTCTGTGTATGTGCCATAGATAGATAGATAGATAGATATTTTTTCTAGATAAAACTAATTTTCTTGTTGATCATGACTTCTCATTCAAAGCACTGTTACCTATTCCTTTAGTTCTGGTTGAGGTAATTTTTCCCTAACAGTAGCCTGTGATGCTCTGGATGGTTTGTGTGTGTAATGGCGACCTTTGTTCATACATGTAACTATATGGAGAATGAATCATCTTAGAAACCATTCTGTTAACTTTCGAATGAAGTCTTTGCTCCTAGTACTTAACTGCCTTCTTAAAATAGAAGGAATACTCCTGGAAACCTTCCAGTGTCAACCACTCTTTTTTTAAATAAGTTTTTGTATATTAACCAAAAAAACTTTTTTAAAGAAAGATTTAAAAAAATTTTTAGGTGTGGGTATTGTAGTAGAGTAACCTGCCTCCTGTGTCAGAGTGCCTTGGGGTCCAGTTCTGCCTTCCATTCCGTCTTGCTGCTAACGAACACGGGAAGGCAATGAAGGATGGGGTCTGGGAAGGTGATGGAGAGTGGGCCAAGTAGGTACTCGGGTTCCGGATGCCCACCTGATAGCCCTAGATGGAGCTCCTGGCCTGGCCCAGCCCAGCTCTTCTAGGCATCGGGTAGAATTCATATCCCTCTCTCCTTTCATTCTGTCTTTCAAGTTAGTTTAACAAAAAAAAACTAAGGGGATAGAAGATATTTTGAGGACCAAATAATGAAAATGTCTCATTAGTAGTATACTGAGTTGGTAAAGATTTCACATTTATTTCTTTTTCCAAATCACTAGGTTGCCTAGTAATTACAGAAAATTCTTTTGCCTTATAGCCATCAAATGAAAAATCAAAATGCCCAGAACTACCACCGTTTCCATCATGTTTATCTACGATCCACTTCGTTGTATTCGTAGTGATTCAGACGGTGTTATTCATTGGATATATCATGTATAGGTAAGCCTCTTAATAACAGTGAAGCTAACATTTTTCCAAGTCAATTTAATTTTGGAATACTCGACAGAACCATCTTCCTGTGATATAGATTTCGCTGCCTCTAAGCAGCGGTTTCTAGATGGCAAATACTCTTTCCAGTATTTCTACTTCCTGTGGAAGTACACATATAGAAGATATGCTTGATCGACAGCATTGCGGGCATCGCTGCTTTTAAACAATCTCATTGCTTTCCAAAGCTAGATGTGCAGAATGTCTTTCAGTTCTGTTTTTGTTTTGTTTCTGTTTCTCCTTAGGAGTCAGCAAGAAGCAGCTGCTAAAAAGTTCTTTTGACCATCGTGTTCGTGTATGTACCTCCTGTACGTATGGACAAAACACTGACTTTTAGGGAATTTTAAGTATTTAAATTGCTTCATAGCCTAAATTATTAAATTTTGTATAAAATATCTGTTTAAACATTGGTTTGCAGTGAAAATAAACCTTAAAACAAAGAACCACATGCAGATTTGTTGATAGGCACATACATTTGCTGATATTTCAGTGACCTGCTGGTCGGTGGAATGTGGCCCCTGGACTGACTTCTGCAGGGAGGGGGAACTCCCCACAAAGGACCCGCTGCTGCGTGGGCACAGCACCCCCTCGCCTACCTCCGCCGTGGGAGGTTCCTGTGCGCACTGTCCACACGGCTGCCCCCCGCCTCCCTCCTCCCAAGATGCAGGGCTCACGAAGAAGGCCTCATCTTGTTTGTTTTGTAACCCAAAAGAATTGGGATTGCCTGAGTCCTGGTCCTGTATTCCTTTACTCTTCATACAGCTCACTGAAAAATAGCCAGGAAAATGCGGAGAGCTGTTAGGGTCTGGTAACAGACTTCAGGGTGCTGTTTGACATTGTTCTTTCCTCTGATGATCAGTGGTACATTTCATTTCATTTTTAAAAGAAATGGTTAGGGGATGCTAAGAGCTGCTTTTTGCCTGAAAAGTCACATGTCCTGTAAAAATGGTTTTTAATGGAAATTTGGCCTGGTTATGGATTCATTTCATTGTTACCCATATTGTTGAATATCTTCATTATGTTGATGTCAGTTCAATATTATAAGAATTTTGTATTTGTATTTTAAGGAACCGTTTCTCTTTATAGAACACATAGTTCATGTCAGATAGCATTTTCTGAAGATATTTTAAATTCACAAAATCTAAACTACATTTAGGTTGTTTACGTTGTTCCCTGCCACCTGGAGTTCATGGCTGAGACCAAGAAGGCTGTGCTAGCAGCAGTTTGTAGATTCCCTGGGGACAAAATTTGAAAAAGTAACTGCTTGTGATTTCTCATTCTCCTAAGGCCAGAACTAAGGGTGTTTTCAGGCATGTTTCAGTAAACTTAACCTTGAAATACCAGACTGGAAGGGTCTTTTATATATAACAAATCTTTCTGCATAGTTTCAAGTATTATAGAAGCCATCTGTGAATGACATTTTTAAAAACATCCGATTCTTTGTGGTCGCTAATGTCAACTATTCTGACTTGAGAATACTCCAAAGTGCTTGTGTTTTAGGGGAGTGGGGCAGACTCCAGAACTGTGCTGTTTTGTAAGCTATTGCTGACGAGCTCTTCCAGATGTCATTTCCAGATGGGACTCACCGCCTAGAAGCCACAGAGACCCTGAGCAAGTGCTGGGTGAGCCCGGAGCCTGCTCGCACTGCTTTAGGCTGCCTTTTTCCTGGAACCCTGAAGCAGACGTGCTGCTGCTGGTTCGCCACCCCTCAGTCCTTGCAGGATGGAGAGTGCTGTGCCCACGGCTTTCCTTTGGAGTGCTGACATTTGGAGATTCCCGTTTCAGAGACATCATCATCATCATCAAATTTACTAATATTCCACTCTTAAAAAGTAATACCTTCAGAACACTGTTCAAGATGTAGGCCGTGGAGTTGGAAAGCCTCTTGAGATAAAAGGCTGCCAGTGCCAGTGTGACAAAGTCTGCCTCTGTGCCTGGACGTAAGAGGAACACCAGATCTATGCAAGGTTGCTTTTTTAGGTTGCAATCGAGGAAAATCGTTGTGGTTGCTCCTAGCACAGGTGGCGAAGACTGTCAAGGAGCTGGTGTGTGCAGGAGGCTTCCTTCCACAGCCGCTGAATTAGCTCGGAAAGCAGTCAGTCCAGCATCGCACAGCATGCTGATCACTTGAAGTTGGGGTTGTTTTTCTTCAAAATCAATAACTTGAGGTAGCTCAATTCTGAACAGAAGTGTTTGCTTTGTGGAAAACTCAATCACTGCCGGGTTCTTTCCTCTCTGTACTATTTTGTATAAATTGAATTTGTTCACTTCTCTCACACCAGCAAGTATTTTTACAGGTGCCTTCGATGAATTCAAAATTGATTTTAAAATTTTAACATGTCATGATGTGTATGATTCCACTTTTAAGAAGAAGATGCCATTGCAGAATGGCTGGTGCCCTTAGCTAACGTCCCTTCTGTGCTGATTGTTTCATTCAGCTTGAGAATTTGCCATGAAGTCACAAACAACAGCATTTTGCTGTGTGTTAAAGGGATGTCAGTATTTCTCCAAGTCTGGTCCCTGGGCCATTTGGGTCTTAGAGTGCCTGTGAAGACAGATTCCAGGCCCTCATTCCTGCAGCTGCGTCCCCGCTGGCAATGAGGCCTCAGGGCGTGTTCAGCAGGCACCTGCTGGGCTCTGCACGCTGTGCTTTGTGGATTTAAAAGTGAACAGATAGCATGAAACAGTCATTATTAATAAAACTAGCAAATGTGCACTAATTCTTTGATATTTACAGTATGCTTAATATTTCTTTTGCTAAATCCAGGTTATTTCCTGTACTTCTTAGTACTTAGCGGATAGCTCTTAAGCATACAGTCAACTTCAGATCGTACTTAGGTTGTGAGGACACCCGTCTTGAAGCCCGCTAAGCTTTCTGCGTTCCTAATTGTGATTGTGGTGAGGTTTTGTCTCAGACATTTGTACTTTTGTTAGCAGGGGAGACGGATATGACTTGAATAAGGGATTGCGTGCCCTGCCACCTTCGCAGAGATGCACTCTTTGTCAAGAACGTTAACACTGGTGAATGTTGAGCTTGTCCATGTGCTACCAGAGGGAGATGGGGAAAAATAGTATATTGGGAATTTTTTAATTTAGAAGATACAGCGTAAAATCAACTCTTGCGCCTTTTAAAATCTTTATGTTGCCTGTTTAATATATTTCCTTTATTATAATACTTAAAGTTTAAAGAGTTTTCTATCCACTGCAATTTCAATTGGAGAACATTTTGTCAAGTTTGTTTTGGATTGTTAATTAATGCTATCTGGAATTCAAAGACATTGACCTTATTGCAATAAAGAAATATTTTAGTAAATTTGCTTTTCTCTCATTGACCTCAAATAGCAAGTCGCTATTTAGTTTCCATGTAGACCACGATTTGTGCTATTTCCTTTATCAGATTCCCAGCACTCCAGCTTAGTGACCTTCCGCCCATGAAGTCAAAATCATTATGAATGATCCCAGGGAAGTATTTTCCCTTACTGGTGATAAAAAAATAATGCAATTAAAACAATGCATTTGATGTTTGCTCCTTTAATAACCAGATGGTAGTGAAGTATAGTGGATTACAGCAAGAACTCTTAGTCGTTGCTAGTTTGAAGCAGTTTAAAAAAAAATCCTTTAGCCTTTTAATCAAGCACCATTTAGCCAAGTGATTCCAGTTGTGAGAGTTAAGGTGGTCCTAGTAGGATTGGGCCTGAGTTTGAAGGTTGGCTGTGCCAAGTTCTAGAGGTGACTCAAATGTCCTCATAATAGGTGCCCACAGCCTGGGTGTGCCTGTGAAGAGGCCACTGCAGTGAGTAGAACATGTGATGGTTTTGGAAAAATGACCTTATTCTCAATGGAATTCTCTTTTGGGGGACCATCAGAGATGTGTTTCATGAAACATAGCAGGACCGCAGGAGGAGAGCCTGTTGCTTGACAACACACACACACACGTAGATGAACATACATATATACGTGCAACACACTTACACACATACCTATGGATACATGTGCCTGCAGAAGTATGTATGGACACATGTGTACTTATAAATGCACACATGGATATTGCACATACATAGATATGTATTTGTACATATATATACAAGCACATTTATAAATATGCACATACACATTTAGATACAGAAAAGGGCTGAACAGGGAAACTGCTTTACAAACTGGCTTTGGAGTTCAGAGTTGAGACCCTCATAATGGATTGGTAATGAATTGCATTTTTATAATAGATTTTAACTAATTTCATAGAAAAATGAGTATATTTTCTGGTTGTTGTTTGGCAGTGTTCTTTCAAAGAGAATGTTAATCCTCTGTTGCAGACTCATCAAACCCATGCTATCGACAGCACTTTGAGATCCCGTGTTCTGACCAAACCTTTATCAGGGTGGAATTTCAACAAGGTGTCCTTTTCTTTAGGAAGTAAAAATGGTTTTTAGTGTCATGAAGCACCTGGCTAGTATTTGTTAAAGAAGAATTACCATGTGCTTAGCTAGAAACCCACACACAAGGAACATAAGGCCATGGCTTTTAGGGTACAGTCTGAAAAGTTCTAGGAGGCGTTAGTGTTGGTAATGCACCTCAGCGGGGATGAGATGTGCTTCAATGTGAGGGATCATTTAGAGTAATGGTTTATTAAGTTCCAAGCAGCCCACCTAATAGGGGAAATAGTGTGTGTTCACAATAGGGATGCTGGGTGAGGGTTCTGTTTCACCCTAAAGGATCTTTCTTAGCCTTTCCTGTTGAGAAAGGGATAGGCATATGCACAGGGGTGAAGCTGCTGTCAGGGATCCCCAGCTCCAGCTCCAGTGGGGGTGCTCTGGGTCAGGTCCCTGTACAGCTCTCCATTCCAGCTTCCTGCCAGTGCTTACCGTGGGCGCAGCAAGTGGTGGTTCAAGTGTTTGTGTCCCTGCCACCTGTGTGGGCCAATGGTTGGCTTCCTAGTGTTGGCCTGGCCTGAGCCTGGCTTAGGGGGCATCACACGGGAGATCTGTGTCATGAAGGCTGGGGACTCAGTCCTTCCCGCGTGAGGAAGCACCCTCTGTGCCCCGTGGGTTAGGCCTCCCTGAGTTTTACAGGTAGATAGCTAACGTGGAGTCAGATGAAGAAAGCCCAGTGCAGCTGTGGCTCGGAGAACACCAAGGCTGCATTGATCACCAGCCCAGTTGCGCTTGTTGGCTCGCATGCTACGTAAGGCTGTGTTCTGCTTGGCAGTGTGGATGGCTGGGCTGTGCAGCCTCCATCACCACCTGCCTTGAGTACCGGTAAGTGCCTCTCCTAACCCAGTTTCTGGGTGGTTTCCTTTGGAATTATTGAATGTGTGTGAATCCTGTCGGATTTTGAACTCCTATGACAAGGCACTGTATCTACTTTTTACATGACAAATTTACTTCCTTAAATTTAAACAATAAATGAGTACAAGGGAAAGAAAAAAAAATTGAATCGTATAAAGCAAATGTTTGTAGCAAAAATCCAAATACTGTCATTTAGGCAGTCTGGCAGGTGGTGACTTATTTCCTGATGCCCTTGATTAATATAAGCATAGGTTGCAAAGAGGTTTTGAGGTGGCCCTCCTGCCCCAGCCCTTCTTGGAGTGCTTTAATTAGAAAGATACTAGTATAGATTAAAGTCTTAGCCATACTCAGTTCCTCCCTTGACCTGAAGGAAGCCAGGACTGTAGAGACCCTGCTACGTTATAAAACATTTCCAGGGTTGTTTGCAAAGACAGCAGAATACCCAAGGAGACTGACTGAGAAATGCAGCACTCTGGCACAGGTCAGGTGCTCTTAACTCCTCAATTGGAAGTCTGGAAGGCTGATGCACATCAACCAGAAACACGTGGCTGTAGAAGACTCATCTCCCAGATGTGAACTAAAGTTTCTCCAGCTTACCTTGGCTCGGTTGTGTGTTTCTGGGTGGGCCCCGTGACCACTGACGTGGTACAAAAATCTAGCCAACCCCTGAGCGAGCCTTGAGTACATCGAGTCCAATGAGAGGAAACGATGGGACCAAGGGATTTTCATTGCTTAATGAAGCACTTGGCTTTTCAGTCTCTGGACTGTGTTTTTAACAGTGCTGTGCCCAGGAGCTGCACTTGGGAAATGCCACCACAGCTGTAAAACGCAGCTCTGATAAACTGTACTGCAACAGGTCTCTTCCATGAAGCCCCCACTCTATTTGCAATTTCAACTTTACAAACAGGAGTACGACGTGCCTGGGAAATTAGCAATGAGCGTTGATGCAGAAGGCAGCCAGGTGCATCTGACTGTATGGTTGATAATCGGAACCATCTGTCTCTGTCCACTGAGGCGTTCTCCACACTAATCCAGCTTACAGCCGGCAAAGCACCCTTCTCTGTCATCATGCCCTTGAGGAAATGAGACAGGGCAGAATCCTGTGCTCACAAATGTGCTGCAGGCGTTGGTAATTTTTGGAGGGTTTGCATTGTGTTGGGTTGGTTGGCTGGGTTTTCTCCCTTTTTCTGAGTTTGGGTTTGTTATTTTCTGGACCGGAGACAATGGCTTTCTTTGTGAAAAGTATGATAAGTAACCAGGTAAAGAACCTGGGATTTGGAGGGGGGTCTGAAGAGAAAAAAGAAGAAGGAGGGACGACGGACCCTGCAGCGGCACAAGGGATGACCCGAGAGGAGTATGAGGAGTACCAAAAGCAGATGATCGAGGAGAAGTGAGTATGCGTGGCTCCACAGCCCTGCCCCGCCTTCCTCGGCGCCCGCCCTGGTCCCTCGGAGAGCTCCAAGATGCTCCTCAACCCCGGGGAAGTTCCTTTTGCAAAGGCAAAGATTTCCCCCAGTGACAGCAGCTTGCACCTGTTACCTGTGTGGATGAATGGAACGGAGCAAAGATAAGAGGTTCTCCAGGCCTTTGTTGGAGCAGCTGGGCATGTTCTGGGCAGGCTTACTTTCATTGACCTTGATTTGGTTGTTGAGACAAAAAATGGTGAGCAACCATCTTTGCCATCTGTGTGAAATTCACTTTCCTAGTAAGTAGAAAGAAACTAAGAATACCAACTATGTACCTGGTGGAGGAAAAAAAATCTAAAAGACCAGTTATGTTGTAAAATTTGACTTACTGAAAACCTGGAATACAGTTGAGGGCTGTTCATTGTGAAAATTCTATGCTTGCAGTAGAGTAGAACGGTAGGATGAATTTCCATATATGCTTCAGACATAAAGTCAATAGCGTTTGGCTGTACATGTGGATGGATTAAATAGATGACAGATCATCAGCCGAAAGTAAATCCCAGGTGCCATTACACTTCACCCCTAGACATTTCAGCTGTGTGCCAGCATGCTCTCAAAAATACACTAGCAGCATCTTGGTTTTATGGAATGTATCACTCACAGCTTTCCCTACTTGAAGACTTAAGTGTAATCTGTATTTAAATCTGTATTTAATTTAAAGTTGAAAGTAGAATCAGTTTGCATCTTGTAATAAGCAGTTAAGAGTTAAAGCATCAATCTAGGGGTGGGGTCTAAAAAAAAGAAAGCATCAATCTAAAGGTCAAATGTTATTGTATGTCACAAAAGGAAAGATTCTCTTGTCATCATGGCTGGTTTACTCAAGTTAAGTTACAAACTAGTTACCTAAGTCTTTTTTTTTTTTAAGATTCATTAATTTTTATTGGAAAGTCATATATACAGAAAGGAGAGACAGGGAGAAAGAGAAAGAACTTCCGTCCGATGATTCACTCCCCAAGTGACCACAACAGCCAGAGCTGAGCCAATCCGAAGCCAGGATCCAGGAACTTCTTCCAGGTCTCCCACATGGGTGCAGAGTCCCAAGGCTTTGGGCCGTCCTCAACTGCTTTCCCAGGCCACAGGCAGGGAGCTGGATGGGAAGTGGAGCTGCCAGGATTAGAACCAGAGCCCATCTGGGATCCTGGGGAGTTCAAGGCCAGGACTTTAGCTGCTAGGCCACGGCGCCAGGCCCTTTACCTAAGTCTTTTAGCTAAGATGATTACAGGTAGATAGACTAATGACCCCAGAGGAGACAGTGGAAATACAAAGCCGACATTTAGTGGGAACCTCGTCAATTGTATTTTTCTAAAAGAAATGATAGGTTATAAAATACCTGGAATGTGTTGGGATTGGCTCTGAAGTAAATTAAAATCAGTTAAAAGCAGCAACAGTTTGTTTGTTTTTGAGTAAGTACAAATACAAAGGTGAAGTTGTACTAAATTCAGGTAGGAAGCAGCACTCCTGACAACTGGCTGGCCTTGCCTTGGCATGGGAAAGAAATGCAGCTGCAAACAGAAAGTAGGAATCACAAGGAACTGCAACAACAGCACAGACATTTTCAGATCAAACGAGGTCATAAAGAGCACGTGGTCAGAGATTTCTACGGTACACCTGGGCGTGCAAAACATTATTTAGTGTTTTCAAGTAACAAAGCTTAAAATGCCTTAGTGGTGTGGTCAATCAGCCAATAGGACAGCTTTCTGTGAGGCTGTGAGAACATTATAAATTCAGGTGCTCACCCAATTTAAGAAATAGTGACAGGACAATAAGGCAGCCGAAGGCAAGAGCAATGACAGCTGGTCCATTGCTCGAGTTTTCAAGCATTGCAACATCTGCAAAGTGGCATCTTACACAGAAGCAACAGATGTCAAGAATGGTACACCACAAGTTCAAAACAGGCAGCTATAGGCTGTATTGTACATTAAGACAAATATGTGCAAACAAACCTTCCTAAAAATCACCACTGTTATTTCAGAAAAAAAATGTGGGATTGACCCTACCAAGTACAAATGAAAATCTATTTAGCAAGGCACCGTACTGCATGTTCGTTTACTTTTCTGTGCTCAGATTTTTTTCTTCTCTACTGAGAACATATGTATGGGCAGAAGTCTGAACCTAAATAGAACATCTATGAAGGATATAGAAGTCATCGCTTTGTCCCTCAAGCAATTGAAATACACCTTTACCTTATGTTATGGTTATGCTTCAGTAGTTGCTGCTTCTGTTGTAACCTGACTCTGAACTTCACTGGGTTGATTGAGTGACTGGATCCCTGCTATGGGGCAGGCTCTGTGCACTGAGATGGGAATTTCTCCTGCTGGAATGTTCGCTCCACTAGGGGACCAATGTTTCTGATTCATCTGCAGTCTCTGGAGTTCCGGAGTCTGAGCATGAGGTCTACATGTGGCTTGGTGCAACCTGCATAGTTTTTTGACTTTTCAACCAAGGTGCCCAAATAATCCAGCAAAGGAATATCTTTTCAACAACTCTATTGAAATGACTGGAGAACTCAAGTTTGACCTCTGCCTTACACTACACACTAAGAATAATATGACATGCATCCGTTGCTTAAACTATGAAATTTTTAGGGGGAGAAAAAAAGTTTTTGCAACTTGGAAGTAGGTGAAGATTTCTTTCTCATGAACCAGAAAATAATAACCCCCAAATTTGAAAATAATATTACAGTCTATCAAAATTTAACCCGTGGTATACCAAAAGGGACCTTTGTGAAAATAGACAAACCACAGATTGAGAGAAGATTATCTGCAAAATATATATCTGACAAAAGACTAGCATCTAGGATAAACAAAGAATGACAAATCAATAATAAAAGCAAAAAAAAATTGGTAAGAGAATTGAACAAATACTTTGTAAGACACATACACAATGAGAATTTTTTAATCACTAAAGAAATGAAAATAAAGATAACACATACCTCTGTAGCTAAAATTAGAAAGGCCAAAAATAACAAGTATAGGTCCAAGTGGGAAACCACTAAGAACTCCTGTTTCCTGAGGCGTAAGAAAACACATCATCTTGGCCAAATGTCCGACAGGTTATTTCTTGTAAAACTATATGTATTAAGCAAAAATACCCAGCAGCTCAGCAATGTCATGCCTAGATTTTACCTAGAAGAAATGAAACTACACGTACCGATAGACTTGTGCACAAATGCTCATAGTTGCTTCCTTCACTGTAGCCCCAAATGGGAATGAATACAAGTGAATGTCAACAGGAAAAGGGATGAACTGATTGATTTGTGCTCACACGTGCAATAGAGTACCCAGCCACAAAAAGGAGCAGATGATTGCGAAAACGACATGGGTGAATCTCGAGTTTTTTATGCTGTATGAGAGAAGTCTTACACTGAAGAACTTGAAGTACCCAGTCCAGTTAAAGGTGGTTCTGAACCAGGCAAAGTCTCGTACGGTGGAGAAGAAATGATGACTGCCTCGGGATGGGAGGGCAGGTGCAGACCGGCAATGGAAAGAGGCCACTGTCACAGAGCAATTCATGTTTGAGTTACACAGATGTGTGCATTTGAGGGCATCAGCAAGAACTCCACATGAAGTTTGTGCATTCAGTCATATGACATTTTTTTTCTTAAAAAAAAAAACAAACAAAAACAAGTTTGTAGCCCTGGTTAATATGCACATTGGATGCAGCTTTGCATCAAAAAATATGGTGAATAAATGAATGGTAGAGAGTGGGTGAGACACAGGAGAAAACGCGGGTAGTGAGATGTGAATTGTAGAATCCAGATAGTGCGTGTTTGGATTGTACTGTAAAATTCCTTTAACATTACTGGACATGTTAAGGGTCTTTAAAAAAAAAAAAGCCATTGACTGATTGAAAGGCAGTTACACAGAGAAAGGGAAAGAGATCTTCCACATATGAGCTCACTCCCCAGATAGCTGCATGGGAGGATTGGGCCATGGCAAAGCCAGGAGCTCTTCCAGGCTTCCCACGTGGGGGAGGGACCCAAGCACTTGGGTTAGCTTCTGCTGCTTTCCCAGGAGCATTAGCACAGACCTCGATCAAAAGTGGAGCATCCAGGACACACCATTTGAGCTGTTGGTGTTGCAGCTGGTGGCTTTACCCATCATGTCACAACTCCAGCCCCTGCGTAAAGGTTTTAATAATAAAATGTTGCAGCAGGTGTAGGTGAAATTGGCTTCCTTCCTGAGCTGCAGGTCGCTAATCTCTTGGACGAGTCGCTGTATTCTACCAGAAGATAGAAACCAGTGCTCTCTCCTGCCACTCCAGCCCTGACATCTTGCAGATGGAAATGATTTCACAGGGGGCTCAGCCCAGAGATCAATAGTTTAATCTGTGTGCTTGCTTCAAATGCAGTCCTTTCTGAGAGAGCTTTGGTGACAGGTCTAAGATTATTTCAAAATCTGGAGTCAGGGAATGGAAAACCATTTTCACCTGAAAATGAAAACATGAGTTAGACACAAAGCACACACACACACACACACAACATTCCATGCAAAGATGCCTTCACAAATCATGAGAAGAATTCCCATCAGGCCTCACAAGCTCTTAGCCTAAGAACTCAAGGCAATTGGGAAACCAGACACACTCTCAGTCCATCTCTTGCTGCTGTTTGCATCTCGGCAGCCAAGCTCTCTGAGCACTCAGCTACCCAGACCTTGTGGCTGAAGCACAATGGCAGTCAATGCCTTCAAGTCCACTTGTCATGATGTCAGCCTCACTTCCAGACTGCCTTTCTTAGTCACAACTTCACTTCCAGATCTCATTTGTTCAGCTGGGCCCAGCCTAATATGGCCAAAGGAGCAAGACTGTGTGTTAAGATTTAAGCTCCAACACTGCACTTCTGTGTACATCCTGGAAGGGTGGTGGTTCCAGGGAGCCTACAGACAGCTCCAAAGGGGTCTGCCTCTGCCTTGGTCAGCAGGAGCAAGGAATCCGCTGCAAACTGGCGTAAGCCATTCCAATGAGTCATCCTCCAAGCAGCCCAGAGTCTGCCACTACCTTCTTTGGGAATACCTCTTTTCCCAAAGGGGAAAGGAGACTCTGATTGCATTAGGGCATGACAAAGATGACACTGAAAGGAAACAGGTTAATAATATATCCCCAAATCCCATGCACCCACAAAAGATCCTCTGGCCCTGGCCACTGGACCCTTGTTCTACCATGTATAAAAATCACTCATTCTATGGGGTGGGTGGGAGACTGGGTGGGGCTTCTCCTTTAATATCCCCCTTTACCTCAGATACATGAAGGAAACAATATGGAAATAATAGTCTTACCCACGTTCCTGTAGCTCTTGAACCTTTTTACCCTAACTAACTATGTAAAGATTGTCAAAAATCTAATTAAAAAATGAAAAAAGTTTTAAAAAATCACTCATTCTAGAAGTGCATCTTACCCTTCCCACTCGAGCAATTCTGATGGGACAGGAATGGAATCATTCCAGCTGATGCTGAGACTTGCAATGCTTGGCTGTGCAGTCCTTTGGCAACTCCACCCTGGCAATGAGCACCCTGCCTCTCTCCCCATTTTGCAGCATAGGTGATTACCAAGTCCAAGGTATTATTATTTAGGGACCTGTGTTCTGTTATGATAGGGAGGTGACAGAGAGCCTGGGAAGGAGGGAAAGGAACTCTCCAGTTTGCCAGGTGTGCACAGGCAGTGTGCCCTAGTGGTCTCTCCTGGGGCCAGTCGCTGGGACATTCTGAGCTTCTCACATCCTTATGACCTTTTATTCTTCTAGGATGGAAAGAGATGCTGCATTCACCCAGAAAAAGGCCGAGAGAGCGTGCCTCCGCGTCCATCTCAGAGAGAAGTACCGCCTCCCAAAGGTAAGAAAGATGCTCTGAACCCAGGCCTGTGCGACCGTTTCACACACGCTTGGCACAAGGTGACTGCTGTGAAGGTACGTGCATCCTAACATAGACTGAGGTGATGCAGCAAGAAGGACACTGAGCCAGGAGTTTATAAACAGTCAGGCCCAGGGATTTCACTCTTGGAACTTCTGTTTCTATCCAGAAAATGAAACAAATAAACAGAATTCAAACAGTTTTTAAAATGTAAATGTTTTATCTAGATTTTTGGAGAGGGAGAGTGCAAGGCAGACAGAACACCGAAATGCGGCTCAGGTCCTCCCTGGAGAATGCAGAGATTCTGTCTGCTCCAGAAAGGAGCAGGTGGCTTGGCCAACCTGTGTTGCTGTAACACTGCACCTGACACTGTCTGATGTAGAAAGAGCTACGGTGTGCTTGGCTCAAGATGCTGGTGGCTGGGAGGTTTCCTGCCTGGCAGACAGAGAGGTAGGAGGGGCAGGAGGCATGAGAGGGGGAGAGGCAGAGGCAGGAGAGGTGCCATAGTCATTGTTTCACAGCAACCTGCTTCTTCAGAACAGGAATGATGCCTTCCCAAAGTCATAACCCAGTCAGCTCCTTCTGGACCCCGTCTTTCAAGTTCCCACTGTTGCTCACAAGGCCTTCCAACCATGAAAAGAGTAACTTAGGACTGGCCATCCCTCCTTCTTTCCTGACACTGTCTGTTCTTTCTACCTTAAAAAAAAATGTTTTTAAACTACTGTTTTATTTGAAAGGCAGAGTTACAGAGAGAAAAGGAAAGACAAAGAACTGTTATCAGCTAATTCACTCCCCAAATAGATACAAGGGTCAGGGGCTAGGCCAGGAGGAAGCCAACAGCCTGGAACTCCACCTGGGTCCCCCATATGGGATGTTAGGGGCCCATATACTTGAACTATCTTGAATGGTATTTTTTTTTTACCCAGATTAGCAAGGAGCTTGATGAGAAGAGGAGCCAGGACAGCTCAATAGACAGAGGCTTAATCTACTGTACCACAACATTGGCCTCTCTTTTTACTATTAATATTTGGGCATTCTCCAAAGTTTTCAGGCAGTTTTCAAATCCACAGAGGCTTAAAGTTGAGTGTCAAGACCTGTCCCATCTCCCTGCTTAAAGGAATGGCACCCAGTCCCACCCCCTTGAAGCCAGCCAGGGTCTGATTAGCTGATCCATGACCCATGAGTGACCATCTGCATTTGGGATAAACAGGTGACAGTTTCATATGGACAGTGGGGTTCCCTGCAGAATATACTTCCGTCTGGAAGCTTCCCAGGGCTCTGCCATAATATGGCTGCACTTGGTACAAACGGATTCTAAACGCCGCAGTTCTAGAAGTGCAGTGAATGATAATTGCCTGCTTGGTGTAAAAACGTGGCACTTCTAAGTCACCCTAGTCAGTCCAGATGGGCAGGACTCAATATGAGATGGGGCACTAAAGAAGCTGTGACTGACTTTCCTGCTTCCGGCTCTGTCAGCGGTCCTCACAACCTCTTCCCGCCCCACCCCCACCCCCCCTCCACCCCCCACCAGGTCCTCCAGAGCCTTCCTAGAAGTCCGTGCTTTGGGCATTATGGAGCAGATTATGCATTTTAGATTCTGTTGCAGTGTGCCAGGAGAGTGAGCTGGGGGTTTCTGGCGCTGGACCATTCAGCCTGGAGAGGCGCCGACGGGGAATGAAGAATGAAGGGGGCGGGGGACGTGGCACAGGATGGCTTGCCAGGCTGGAAATGCCAGCTCTTCTAACCCAGCACCCAACCAGAGTCTCAGAGCAGCAGGCTGCAGGTGACTCTGGTCTGTCTGGGTACAGGGGAACCCTTCCCAAGGGTCCAATGTCCTCAGGAGCCACAATGGGTATCTTGTTTGTGGGTTTGCAGATGCATCTGCTTAAACAGCAAGGCCTGGGCCCTCCAGGCAGTGCCATTTGGTGCATTGGGGCTGTGATTGGGACAGCCCTCCCACTCCCCATCCCAGGCATGCAGCAGGCCATGGAGGTATGGGAAGGTGAGAGGCAGGCCTACCTTAGGGGGCTGGAAGGGGTAGGCCTCAGGTCAGAAACAAATGCCTGATCCTGGTGGCGGGGGATCTCTCCTTTTATTAAACTGATTCTCACACAGGACACTGGTGGCGGGGGGGAGGGGAAGCCCCCCAATAGGTGTTTGCTCAATGCATAATCATTAAAATGGCATCCACTTAGCGACTTACCCAAGGTCACAAGACATACTGTGACCAGTGGGAATTCACACCCAGTTTTTCTCATCCGGTTTTCCATGCTGCTGTCTCCCCACTCCCTCTCCAAGAGCACAGCTCCTGCCCAGTGAGACCTGGGACCCCGGGACACAGTGATCTCAGACTGAGCCCATACTGCAGCCTCGCTGGGTAGGGAGCACGGGTTCCCAGGACTTGAGTGGGTTCCTGAGGTCCTTCCCCACCACCCCCATGCTGGAGGGGGGCTTACAGAATGTTTGGCCTTGGGCCATCTTATAAAATCTATCCTGGGTAAAGCGAGCTGGTAATAGCATGACTGGTCCACAGGGGAACTGGGGGCACTCAACACACCCTGGGGCTAATGAGGGCTGACCCCTCGGGCACCCCATTCACAATTCCCTGGGTTAGATAACAGCAGGACTCAGTTCAGCTCCCAGCAGCTGTCGGGTCCAATAAGGGAAACCGTGTCACATTTTGGAACTTGAACTGCATTTTCTAAAGAAATGACTTGACTGGTGTTTTCCTACGAGAAAGAGTTTCTGCTGCTGCTGACTTGGGGAAAATGGGTTTAACTCCTTGAAAAAGAGCAAAGTAGACTCCAGCCCTCTCAACTGTGAGAGGTCTTCAATCCCAAGCTTGTTTTAATTTTTAAGGACCATCCCAGGTGTCTTTGGGTAACCGGTACTGAGTCCTTGGAGGAGTCACCAAGCAAATGTGGTAAGCAGATTGCAAGAATGGGATGGGTACTCCCTTTTTTTTAATTAATTACTTTTTTTTAATCTGAAAGGAAGATATACAGAGACCAAGAGAGACAGAGAGGAAGATCATCCATCCGATGATTCACTCCCCAAGTGACTGCAATGGTTGGAGTGGAGCCAATCTGAAGCCAGGAGCCAGGAACTTCTTCCGGGTCTCCCACACAGGTGCAGGGCCCCAAAGCTCTGGGTCTTCTTTGACTACTTTCCCAAGCCACAAGCAGGAAGCTGGATGGGAAGCAGGGCTGCTGGGATTAGAACTGGTGCCCTTATTAGATCCAGGGACGCGTTCAAGGTGAGTATTTTAGCCACTAAGCTACTGCGCTGGGCCCTGTACTTCTTTATCAGCCATTATAGGGTTTGGGTGCATATGGCTAGCCTACGTGGGTTTTATCACATCTGCAAATTCTAGCTGTCTCTTGAGTGGTGTTCTGTTTGGCCCCATGCCCCGTCATCTCTCACCTCTGTCACAAAGGTTTTACTCCTTGAGTCTTGCTTCTCTTAAAACTGCAGACTTAGGTGTTTAAAATAAAAACCTTACCCAGCTCCTTCCATTAGCTCCTCCTGATCCCTGCCTCTTTGATTTGACCAGAACTTTAACAAATAAAGCCCAAAGTTTGAACCTGCCTGCCAAAGATGTGGCTCCTGCCCTTGCAGATTCACCTCTGGCCATCCCATGCCTGAACCAGACCCGCCTCCTTCTGTGTTCCCTGCACCCTGACCTCTGTTTTGTAAAACTTTAGTTTAGTGCCATTTCTTCCAGAACCTTCCATGATTCTCTTTTTCCTATTTCAGGCTGAACTGGGTCACCCTTGTCCATGTTCCTACACTACTTTAGTACGTGGTGTGTTTTTTTTTTCCCCGTAGCTTTCTGTGCCTTCCGCAGACACATGCGCGTTCCTCAGCACCCAGCATGTACTGGCACATGAAAGTTGTATGCACCGGATACCGAGACACATGCTCTCACAGGGTATTCACACAATGAACAGATGCTAGAGGGAAAAGAATTACCCAAAGTGTCAAAAAAAAAAAAAAAAAAAACAAGAAAAAGACTATCTTCTTCTTAAAATCACCTTAAAATTAATTCCCTTGAAATGAGCAAGTTTGACTCGTGACTCCAATCACTGTATAATTTTGTGTAAAAGGTGACTCTGTATTGAAATGGAAATGTCATAGTTTGTCAGAGCAAGGAAGTAATATTTTTAAGAAAGTCACAAGATTCTTCATAAGAGCTAACATGCCCCTCTTCCCAGGCAGTTCAGAATATATATGTAAGTCAAGCCAAATTAATAAAAGAAAACAGTTCCACAATGAACCCTAATCCTATTAACAGCGTTGTCAGTCTGGGTTAGTCACTGAAAAATCATGTTGTGCCCCCTGCTGAGCCGTACGGTTTAGTTACACCTGGTGTTTGTCTGCAGTATTAAGGGCGTCCATCGTCTGGAATAAAGATGGACCAGGAAGAAACTCTTCAACAGAGCTGTCTCTAAAAGGGTCCTACTTTAAACTCCGTTAGAACCAAATGGAGCCACCTCTTATAAAACAGCAAAGAAGATTCTAGAACCTTCCCCGCCAGCCTCCTTCCGAGCAGGAGCTCTGGAGATTGCCCAGCGGGGTCTGAGCCTTGGCCCCTCCCGACCCTGAGCAGCTGTTTCTGGTGGCAGGAGGCGGGTGGAGGCCGGTGGAAGACAGCCCTCCCCCCAACCCTCCCCCCTGCCCCAGTTCCGTGGGCCCCTCCCCTTCACTGGGAGCCCCGAGAGAACAAGGGCAATGGGAAGGAGGCACTTCCCACTTACTGCTGGCAAGCCCTTTGTAAGGGAGCTGGGGACAGCTTCTCCTTCACAGAGAACTGGGCAACAGCGGTTCAGCGTCTGACCCCCTCTACTGGCAGCTGAGCCGAACGAGGCGGACCACACTCCTGACCAGGGTCATGAGCTTTTGAAAGGGTCTTCGCCTCCCAGGACCTCGGCTTCCTCATCTGTGTGGAGAGGCTTGGAGAGGCGGCCTCTGGTAGCCGGCGAGTCCCTCTGCGCTGCCTGCCGAAGGAAGATGAGCCCGCAAGAGGTGCACAGCGATCCCCAGGCCAGCAAGGGCCCACCCCGACACTCTCTCAGTCAGCATTAAAAATCCATGCCCGGGACTCAAGGCAAATTCACACCATTTGTCCTATCTGGGCGTGCGGGGGACTCTTTAAGTCGCCGAAGAGGCACGGGCAGCGAGACAGCAGCCAGCAGGTGCAGCCACAGTGTCCCAGGGCCATATGACACAAGGCCCAGGGACACTGTGCCACGCAGGGCCGTGGTCAGCCACAGGACAGGGAGACAGTCCACGAGGTTCACAAACCTAGCAGCAGCAGGTAGTAGATTAATTCGTCTACTAGAAAAAAATCCGTTTCCGGGGCTCTTTGGTATCCTGCGGACCAAGAGTAAACAAACAAGCCAAAACTAAATCAGACTGGGTGTGGAGCAGGCACCAAGCTTGACTGGACGCTAACAAGCAGTGAGCACTCAGGTCTTTTTGAAGATGAAGCCATCTAAGATAACATGTCTCAGGCTGGGTGCAAGCTGAAGGTTTGGTTGACCAAGGTTTCCTGAGGCTGGAGCCCAGCGGAACACCTGCCGTTCTGTCAGAAGGCCCGGGGAGTGTGGCAGGCTGGGAGTAATTTAAACAATGGAGCAGTCAGCACTGGCATTGCAGATAGTAAGTCTGGTTAAAAACAAGAGATTAAGACGGATCTTGGTCAGCTGGCATAAAAATAATCAGCTTTTAAGTGCATTAAACAATCCCAAATTGATAAGATTTCTCGAAATGAGAAGACCTCTGCAACAGACACTATAGGAATAAAACAGAGCGCATAAGTCCCCTAATTATAAGCTGTCTCACTTCCCTCTCCTCTCTCTCCCTCATCCACTCAAGCTGTGGGTCTCAGTTCCCACACCCCTCCCTTGCCCTATGCCACCTGTGGGGACAGTGATGCATGGTGGCTGTGGCTGCGCTGGTTGGCATGAGGCAAGGCCGCCTTTCCTTTGCATGTGAACAGTGTCTAGAATATTCCGGCCTCTCCAACCTAAGGTTTGCGCAACAGGAAGTGTGGATAAGTCATCCCTTGTTTAAATTGTAGATGAGGTCTGAGCAAAGACAACCACTGGCTGGCTGGGGCTGCTGCAAGCCTTGAGTGGCTGCTCCCCGGTTGCTTGCTGTGGCCAGGCTCTCCCACTCTGGTCACCATCCAGGCCTGCTTTTATCCCTGGGACACTGTCAGCGGCAGCCGTGTTGACGCAGAACTCTCCTGCCTGATATACTAATAGCATCAGCTGCTGTTTGTCCAGGTCCTGGAAGCCTGTGAAGCCATTTCATGACCTGTGTTTATTTAATCTCATAAATCCACCTGGGGTCCTCACACTGGGACTCAGAGATGTAAGGTGACTTGCTCAAGGTCACATGGCAGATGAATGACAAACCCTGGACTTGAACCAGAATCACCTATTCCAGGCTGTAGCAGATGCAGTATTTATAAGTGAGCTGGTTACCTTGGCTGGTTCTCCATCTGGGTTGCTCACGTAGTTAGGGCCTAGTTCTGGTGAGGCCACAGGCCCAGGTCTGATATCCATGGACTGTCCTCTGTCCACTCATGTCTGGGAACCTGCTGAGCTGGGAGCAGGAAGAGCACAGTAGGCAGGCCCTGGGGCCCTTCCAGGGAAGGGTGGGGTCACAGTGGGGTGCTGGCACTGACCAGTGGCCAGGGACCCCTTGGACAGCATACTCCAGGTGACCTGAGGGCCTGGTGCCTGAAGACTGGCTTGTGAGGAAGATGGGCCTGGGCAGGGGAGGAAGCAGTCACAGCCAGGAGAGCAGGGAGGAGCCCAGTGCTGGTGCAGTTACCCAGAGCATGTCCATACCCTCCTCTGAGCGTTGCTGTTTTGAGCAAAGCTCCCCCTGATTGAGTGCTTAATAGACTCTAAGCAGTACTAGTTATCTAATTAACCTCGCACAACTCAGGCTGCAGAGAGATCCCTAATGTATAGATAAGGAAATAAGGCTCAGAGAGGTTGGGTAGAGCACCCCGGGTCACACAGCTTGAGAGGTAGAACTGACAACTTTGCTGGGGCTGCCGGGCTCGGTCCAATACCCTTGCCCTAGGCTGTGGTGTCTCCACGGGAGCAGGACAATGAACAGACAGCTGCAGCAATATAGCTCTTTCCAGCAGAGTGGACCCACAAACTTAAGTGTCTGTAGGCTCAATGGATCACTGGGCAGGCACCTACTGTGTGTGTCTCCATGTCCCAGCTGCTGCTGGGTTCTGAGACCTAAGGTGAGAAGGTGGCAGTCTGTCTGCATGGTGTGTGGAGCTGCAGATCTCAGCACAGCAGGCACCGGAACCGCAGGAGGACTGGCCAAGTCATGAGAGCGGGCCCAGCCCTGAGTGTCTGATGTGTCTTCTTTTTTTCTTGATGAATAGGATATGATTTTATTCTCCGTGTTTAATAACACCTCTATGGAGTCGTGGCAAATCAACCTATATTTTCCAATTAATCTTACCTGTTGCTAGAATATTTCCAATACCTACTTCTGATTATGGTATAACCATACCATAATTTTTTAAAAATTATTTTACAGTACAGTTCCATTCTCCCACCCTTAAATCCCCCCACACACTGATTTCCCCCCACATTATTACAGTAGTATATGAAGGACTTTGCTACTGCAATCACTTCCTTTTGACTTTGCTGTGAGGGGACATTCGTCCTGCATTTGCATGAACTCAAAGGGGATAGACTGCTCTCTGCTTTTCCTCTTCTCCTTGGGGAAAAAATCCATAGAGGACAATCAAAAACAAAAACAGCTGCCACAGGGGTAAGTAAACAAAACATAAGCAGAAATGCAGGATCGGCCAGGAGCCTGTAGGGATTAGCTAACTAACTAATCCCACAACTGTTTGATGGGGGAACTGGTTAATCCTGTAAGCACTTAGAGGGTCCGAGGCTCCGACCAAGTACAGGGACAGCTTACCCATCATGGAGGCTGCTGCCACTGCCAAGGTCTGCAGGGAACGCTGGGGGACACGTCTCCCTCCCAGAAGCACTGTCCGCTTGCCATCCCAAATCTGCCTCTCTCCCTGGCTGCAGAACCAGACCACACAGCCCGGAGAGCAGAGAACAGCCGCACGCTCTGGGGAAGGGCTGTTTGACCCTGGCTCCTCCAAGGACCAGCTAGCAAAGTTCAATGCCATAGAGACAGAGCCGGAAGGATTTTAACCATGTGGTCCCTCCAGCCCACTTGACAGAAGATAATGCCTGGTACACAGCAGCCTGCCATGCTGCTTGTTCCAGAGAGAGCACGAGTGCCTCTCTGGTCATTTCCATTCAGCACCTGGGTCCGATCTCGCTCCTGGGAATTCAGCAGGTGCTGAATTCTTTCTTAAATTCACAGCAGTCTGAGCCTAAGATGATGTTTTTTCTCTTTATGTGGATTTCATGAGCCCTGCCAAGAAATTCGAGGCTGGTCACAACTGGGGAAGGTGGCCTTAACATACCTCTTTTCTACCATTAGTGACATCTTATATAATCTTCCATGTTTCTTGTTACAGCCTGATCACCAATCTGAGGGTGTCAGTTACAGATAAGCTCTCCCAGAGACGAGTTCAACTCATTCTATTGAAGTAGTAAAGGAATCTCCAAGCCCAGATGATGTGCACTAAAGAATTCTGGAGCTGCTGTGCCTTCAATCACAAAATGAGATGCTTAAAGCATCCTGTGGTGACAACACCAGCAGCACGGGATGCTGAGTAGGAGCTGTGTTGGTTCATGTAACAACTGTGATGGTTCATGTAACAACTGTGCCTGGAACACCTGACTCAGGCCAGATCCCTTGCTAGCAGAAGGGAAGCAGAGGACGTTAAGTGATGTGACTAGTGGAATGACAAAAACTTATCTGGTCACTGCCACCTTCTGGAGTAGGATCAGCCAAAACACCAAGTTGTAGCATGGGCTGACAGACCATGCAAACTTGGCAAAGCAGCCCTCGACTGAAGTCATGTAAGAAGCTCCAGGCTTTGTGACCATCTGCATCAGAGAGACAGACAGACAGAGAGAGAGAGAGAGAGAGAGAGAGAGAGAGAGAGAGAGAGAGAAGGAGCTTTTGACAGTCCAGATGGCTGAATTTCCATCTCAATAGGTTCAAGGGAGAATCTAAGAATTTTGATACAGATTTTGATCATTATTTGAAGAGAAACACAGACAGATGTAGGTCTCCAATCTCCTGGCTTGTATCTCAAATTCTTGCCACAGCATAGACTGAGCCAGATGTAAGCCAGAAGCCAGAACTCAATCCATGTGACCTACACAGGTGTCAAGGACCCAATTGAATGAACCATCGCATGATACCTCCTCCAAGGGTGCACATTAGGAAGCTGACATCAGGAGTAGAGCTGAGAAATGCATCCTGCCACTCCATCATGGGTTGTGAGCATATGAAGTGGCCTCTTCACAAGTATGGCAAGTATCCACTCCAAGAATTTGCACTTCTAAACAAGCACCTAGATGATGTTAACACTACTTGTCCAGTGACCACCCTGTGCTAGAAGGTTCTGATTGATCCAAAGAATGACCAAGGAGGAGCCTCCCAACCAGGAGTGCTCAAGTGTGGAGCATCTTGGGAGATGACCAAGTGTGCCATTCACCTCCATTCTCAACAGACCCTCACTGCCTGCTGTGTTTGCATTCCACTTTTTGGTTGGTTAATTTTTAGAGTTACTCATCTATCTCTCTGCTTGTTTCTCACACAGAGTGAAATGGATGAGAATCAAATCCAGATGGCTGGCGATGATGTGGATTTGCCTGAAGATCTCCGAAAAATGGTAGACGAGGACCAAGAAGAAGAAGAGGATAAGGATTCTATTCTGGGGCACTTGCAGAATCTGCAGAACATGGACTTGGATTCCATAAAAGAAAAGGCCCAGGCCACCTTCACAGAAATCAAGCAGTCAGCAGAACAGAAGTGCTCTGTGATGTGAATCAGGGAACCTGGCCATCGCACACACACGTGCTCTCATGGGCATGTGGAGGAGCATAGATTTTGTTTTTAACACAGTCAGTATGGGAAAGATTGTGCTGTTAAAGCTTCCACACATAGACAAACGTTCTGTTGTCATCCCTGAAAGATCGTTCAGCTAGAACCCTGCAGTAGGAGGCATACTATGCTTTTAGTTACACATGTGGCTGAGGCCAAAATGTCAGCTGTCATTCTCATGTCTGCTCAAAGACCTTCAAAGCCAGCGGAAGGAGACCAAAGCAAAGACATTTCCCTTCCAGCTTCCTTCCTAAGAGAATGGGCTTTCATGCTGTCCCACCATTAGCATGGTGGCAGGTCTTTTCAGGGAGCAATGGGAAAGGTAGGGAGCCAAGGATGCAGACTCCAGGGGAAGCAAGGTCACACCACCTCTCCTGTTCCCCTAGTTGGCTTCCCCAATTATTCTCTTCTTTTCCACTCTTTCTTCCTCTATCTTCTTTCCCTCTCCTGTCTGCCACTTCCCATTACCCTTAAATAATTCTCAGGCATTCTGCATGTCTTCCAGAAGAATACCAGTTTCTCCTTCCTAACACCTCTCTTTCAGAAGGAATTATTTTTAAGACTTTGCAGGTTTTTTTCTTTAAAATATAAAGCTCTTGGGCCCAGCGCAGTGGCGCAAGTGGTTAAGGTCCTCGCCTTGCACACCTGGGAACCCATATGGGCGCCAGTTCTAGTCCCAGCGGCCCAACTTCCCATCCAGCTCCCTGCTTGTGGCCTGGGAAGGCAGTCGAGGACGGCCCAAAGCCTTGGGACCCTGCACCCGCGTGGGAGACCCGGAAGAGGCTCCTGGCTTTGGATCGGCATAGCATTGGCTGTTGCGCTCACTTGGGGAGTGAATCATCGGACGGAAGATCTTCCTCTCTGTCTCTCCTCTCTGTATATCCGCCTTTCCAATAAAAATTAAAAAAATAAATCTTTAAAAAAAAAAACATAAAGCTCTTTCATCAAATCCAACCCAACCAAACTCAAATACTGGGTTTTCACCCACACCATTTGCCCTGCTGTAACTGGGTCATTTCACTTAGCATGGTGTCTTCAAGGTTTCATGGTGACTTTCCTTCCACAGGGTGAATAATGATAAAGCATACACCACCTTGCACTTACCCATTCCTCCAAGGATGGCCCCTTGAGTGACTTGTATGTTTTGATTGCTTGGATAACATCACCAGTGATGTGGTATATAAGAGTCTGCCTGGACCCAGCACAATAGACTAGTGGCTAAAGTCCTCGCCTTGAATGCACTGGGATCCCATATGGGCGCCGATTCTGATCCCAACTGCTCCACTTCCCATCCAGCTCCCTGCTTGGGGCTTGGGAAGGTAGTCGAGGACGGCCCAAAACCTTGGGACCCTGTGCCCATGTGGGAGACCCGGAAGAGGCTCTTCGCTCCTGACTTTGGATTGACTCAACTCTGACTGTTGTGCCTGCTTGCAGAGTGAATCATTGGACAGAAGATCTTTCTCTCTGTCTCTCCTCCTCTCTTTATATCTGACCTTCCGATAAAAATAAAATAAATCTTTAAAAAGAAAAGAGTCTGCCCATGGCCCTGTTTTTTTTTTTTAAGATTTATTTCTTTTTATTGGAAAGTCAGATTTACACAGAGAAGGGGAGACAGAGAGAAAGATCTTCTATGAGCTGGTCCATTCCCTAAGTGATGGTCCTGGTTCTAATTATTCCCCACGGAGGAGTAGCTGAGTCATTCCTGTGTTTTCATCTAAATTAACATAATCAATTTTGTCAATCACAAGAATGACACTTGAGTAATAGAATAGATTCATACATAGTGAAAATCAGACTCAAAGATCTTGTAATTTTTCAGTCTTTTTTCACTTTATTTTGGATAACTTTCAAACCTAACAAGCAATATGAAGACTCATGTAAGAAATTGATATGCAATAAAGTTTAGCATTTTTACCTCATTCAAAAGCACTGCTATTTTCAGTAGACTATATTTTCAGTACTCCATCTATTAATTACAGGCATTCCTAGGTGGTGTCAAATTTCGGGAAGCATAAAAAGATAGTACCCAGGTACAGAGGGATGTTTGCTTGTTTTCTTAAGCTATTTCAGAGGCCTTTAAGGATTTCCAAGTTTTGTGCCTTTCAGGATCACTTCATTGATTTGACAATGCGCACAGCTCCTGGCACTTGAATAGAGGTACTTCTAGAAGTACCTTGCAAACGCGCTTGAAAGCATTTGGGCCAAGAGGGGCTAATTAGATTCATCAGAACATATAGGGTCAGCATTTTCAGGGCTTAAGAGGTCAAAGGAGAAAGCACAATAAAAATAGACAAATGGTCCTAAAACCATAGTAAACTGCAAAATCTATTACAGCGAACAGTCTACAGGAATTGTAGATGTCGTGGTAGCCAAAGTATGACATTCCCACTGCCAGTGACAACAGCTGAACAAGGCGGCTGTGGCAGTCCCTGGGAACCCCCAGTTAATGAACCCTAACATCAAAGGCGGCAGAGGAAACTCCAGCCAGTGCTGATGTTAACAAGACTGGATTGGATTGCAATGTCTTTTGAAAGTGATCAAATGATTGCTGGGGGACCATTTGAGAAGGAAAACAAAGCAGTTTGATGTGTTCCAAACACATGGGAAATGTGAAAATGGGAAAATTAATATTTTCGAAAATCTCCAGATGACTTAATAGAAGAATGTGGAAAAATGGTATACTTGTGCCAATGAGTTGCAGTATGAAATAAAACAGGTCACTTCACTACTTCACTAAACCAGTGAAGAAGCTCCTACTCCCGTAGTCACCCATTCAATCAACCTGCGCTGGCTGTGGCACAGGCGCTGGATGCTGGGGAGCTGAGAGATACAGGCCTTATTCTCATAACAGGCAGATTCTAATGGTGGGGAGGACAGGTAATAGACACACAAGAGATAGTAAGTATTTTGCGGAGTGGTAGCTCCTATGGGCAGAAGGACCTGCAAGATCATGTGAGTTGGCTTGAGGCAGAGTCAGAAGTGTAAGAGTCCTGGGGTAGGGAAGGGCTTGGGAGATTTCAAGAGAGAAGGAAAAGGTCAGGGTGGCTTTGGCTCAGTAAACCCTGAGCAGGGTAGAGAAATGGCCAGAATGTTCTGCAAGAGGCCTGCAGACATGGGGGAGGGGCAGACGTGAGGGAGTAGTGCCAGGAGTTTGGATGTCGCCTAAGCAAAAGAGGGAACCTTAGGATGGGGTACTGCACAGAGTGCCATGATCTGAGTCCCAGCCTTGCATGGTGGTTGACTGGCTGGCTGGCTAGCTACAGATTGAAACGTGGAAGGAAAGCAACTAAGAATAGCAGGAAGGCTGACAGAAGGCTAACAGAAGGCTAATTCCTTGCCAGCCATTGTGATGCAGGTCATTTAAGCTGCCTCTGGAGAAAATAATGGCATCCCATATCATGGTCCAAGTATTTGGTCCTTGCCAGCCTCCTAGGAGACTTGGCTGGTATTCCTGGCTCCTGGTTTCAGCTTGCCCCAACCATGTCTTTTGTGGCCACTTGGGGAGTGAATCACTAGATGAAAGATTCTTTTTCTTTCTCTCTCTAAACATAGAATTACCACATGACCCAGGCAAAGAATTGACAGTAGGGACTCAATGTTGGTACGTTTGTGCTCAAGGTAGCTCTTATTCACAGGGGCGAACATGTGGAAGCAACTCCAGTTGATGGATGCATGACTGGTTAACCAGACTTAGCTCTCTAACCCAATGCAACATTACTCAGCTTCAAATAGCTAGGACATTTTGACATGCTGCTAGATGGAGGAAACTGAACACAGTGTGTCGAATGACCTAACCTTCAGCAAAGGGCAAACGTGCAAAGCCTCCTATTTTAAGAAGCCAACCAGGAGGCTGGTGCTATTGGTGTAGCAGGCTGATCTAAACCTGTGGCACCAACATCCCATATGGGTGCCAGTTCATGTCCTGGCTGCTCCACTTCTGATCCAGCTCCCTCTCAATGGTCTGGGAAAGTGTGTGGGCCTCTGCACCCACATGGGAGACCTGGAAGAAGCTCCTGGCTCCTAGCTTTGGACCAGACTAGCTGTGGTCATGCAACAATTTTGGGAATAAGTAAATAAATAAGTGTCTCCCTGTATCTCTCTCAGTCATTCTCACTTTCAAGTATCATAAATAAATCTTTTTTTTTTTTTAAAGAATTGTGTTCTTAAAAAAAAAAGCAGCCATCATTGGTTGGAAAAAAGAATGAATATGTAATGTAAAGCAGACTTACAGATTTAAGTTCACAAGACAGACTTGTGCTATAATTACTTCTCTGGACATGCTGTGTGGAAAGCTAATGTTTGTCTCCAAAATGATGGTGATTATGGAAGTGTGAGAGTGCCCATGTGGTGAAATCTCAACTGACGACTAAAAGCTGGCAGCAACTCTCACCACAGGGTCTTAGCAATGGCACACTGAGCAGGAGGGGCTAGGGTCCCTTATCACACAGGAACCCTTTGGAGGCAAGAACTGTCTGTGTAAAACAAGTGACCAATTAAACAACAAAATTCAGTTGTTTGTAGGCCACCTTCATGATCCCCACAGACCTGCAATTCTGATGTTGAATCATTCTCTGTCAGCAAAATCACTTTGTAAATGAAATAAACTTGAGTTGGTACACACATGGGAACTCGGTGTGTCCTAATGAGGTGGTAACTCCAAATGCATGTACTAAAGGAGACCAGGTGGGACGCTGATAATTCCAGCAGGCCACTGGTGCCTGCTGGAGACTGAGTGGGAGGCCCATTCTATATTGTAAAAAAAACATCCAGAGCATCAAGGTATGGGTGTTCATAGAGTGGTCAGGGGAGACCCCAAGGAGCAGCAATATCTAATCAAAGGCTTGAAGGGACTAAGGAAGTTAGCCCCAAAGTCATCAGAGACAATATATGGCAGCAAAAGCAACACCCAAGGTCAAGGCCCCAGGTGTGCTCCACAAACAGAGA